TTTTTTTTTTTGAATCCAGTTCCATGTAATCTTTGGCCCAGACAACTCCACTTACGGCTTTTACGGAGTAAGTACTACACAGTACGGAGTAGTCCGATGAATATCCTATCGGCCGACTATTGTTTCCCCACTGGGATTCTCAAGGACCACGTCGTCACTATATTCCCGTTTTTTGCAAACCGATTGGATCTCTGTTGATCGTGCAGAACGCTGCCGTTCGCTTGATGTGAGCAAGTTTACTATCGCTGGGATATATCGCCATTCCGGCTTGGATGAGGAACAGTGTCTCCAAAGGATTCTACTAAACCAAATCACCACAATGCCCTTCAGTTATGGCACAGGACTACAGTTACCGTGCCTGCTGTGTCGCAAACATATCATCCACCACTTGATCTACCACACTGCGGAAATCCTGCTTTGCGAGGATGATATCTCGAGCATACGACTTGCTCGTCAGGGAGAACGACTCGCTCGGAGCTCTCTAGATCTTGTTTCACAGCTTATTAGCCACCGAGCAGATTATCAACTAAGGCCATCTAGCTTCACAAGCGGTTAAAAGTAGCCGCGGTACATGGTCTGTTTATTGTGGATAGTCGATGATAGTATTGGAGATGGTTTGTTGTGTAGGTTATATCAAACATAGGCAAGAGCGGTATAATTTATATGACATAACTGGTACTTAGTCTATTCGTCCCAAAGGAGGTTGCTGATAACTCCATCTCCTAGGCTGCAGAAGCCAGATTGCCGTGGATGAAGCTGACTTCTACAGACGGAACAGAGCTAAACCTTGGAAAGCTAGAGACAGGTCTACAGACAAGTTAGTAAATATATAGCCATGTTTTGGTTTCACAAGAACTTCCATCGTTGAAACCTCAATTTAACTAGGGAACCTGAGTTCTATTTCGATGCAATGGTCAGCAGATGTCCTTTGAATCTATATATGAATGAAAGTCTCCTAAGGCAGTAATAATTCATTACATGGCTCTACTGAGGCATATCATCCTACATTGCCAATTCCCTATATCACTTATGAATGAAAGTCCTGGGGTTTGTTTTCACTACGAGTGGCTTCTTATCTTCATTGGATGGATCCTAATCGAACAAATCCAAGCGTAGTGGAGCATTCGTGATATGAAAGCGCCTCTACTATACAGCGCTTACATTTTTCTATATTCAAGTTGCGTCCGTGGACTTGATTAGAATCATATGTTAGAAACCCCTGTTCTAGCACTCCAGAAACAGTTATTTTAACGGTATCTAGATTCCTCGACTAGGAGAGCTCCCCATGTCCACGGAATGTATATACCTGTTCCGTGAGTCAAAACCTACCTAACCATGGAAAATAGACAACCTATCCACTGTAGGTAATCCAACTTAATCCATATACTTGGTTAGCTAGAAACAGAACTTTAGCAATTGGTATCAATGCTTGTTTACATTAAGGATTGGTCAGCCTCTAAAATAATATAGATAAGACCGTGGACTATATGACAGATGGATTCTTAAACTCCTAACCGTGGTTAACTGGGATTTATGTCAGTTGTCTATTGGAAGGACAGGGCACTGTAGACCAAAATGTTTACATGGGAGTACGGTCTAAGGAAGCTAATTGCAACCTTCGTTACTACTAGTATTAATGTCAGCCTATACTGATTTCTGTTGGAATAATCGCGCCCAAGAAATTTAATAAATAGCGGAAGCCATCTATAGAAAAGCAGAACTGCATTTTTTGTATGTTGAAACCTTCATACAGAATTGGAATCATTTCGCCCATAACCCGAACCAACATAAATATACCCTTCAAACAGGTGATAAGAAATAACTGACAAATAGAGGTAACAATGAATACCAGGTAGCATACAGATGCAGAATGTTAACTTTATCCCTAGCGCAACGATCCACTGCAACACGGATCTAAAAGAACCTACAAAAGCCCAAAGTGGCCAGGTCTATACCATTACTCGTCTGTAACCTCCTCAACTCGAGGAGCCAGATCACGTTTCACAGCACCCGAAGTATCTGAGGCCGCGGTTGCCGTTGTAGTCGCTGAAGGGGCAGACTCGGCAGATTGAGAGACTGGAGACTTGGATGCGTCGCCAGAAGACTTCTTAGACTTCTTCTTTTTCTTACCCTGTCACAGGAATGTTAGAGAAAGTCAAAAACATAAGGTCGGGATGGAATACATACCTCTTGCCAACCCCACAGGGGCTTGAAGCTGTCAATAAAGCCAACATCCTCGAACAAGTTCGGGAACAGCCAGAGACCAGGAGGAACAGCAAAGACCGTGACGCAGAACAGAATAAGACGGAAGATCGACATGGCGAAGAATAATCCCAGGAGGCCCATCATACCAACACTCAAGTACCAAACACCTTGTCTCATCACCATGGGCCACAATGGGAAAAGAACAACGGCGAAAATACCAGCCACCACTGCGGCGGCCATAGCCTTCTGTTTCCATTGAGGTCCCTCGTATAGCCATACGTAGTGCATCATAGGGTCTGTTTCCTGGTGTTGCTCAATCTTGACGGTCCACAGCCCCTTGACTCGGTTCTTAGGCTTCGCGTGGTTGTGACCCGCATGGGGATCGACTTTCGATACGCGCAAGGCAAGAAGTGATAGAGGGAGGAGCTTGAAAACATTCTCTGCTGATGCACGGTCCGTTACGGGAGGGAGTAGAGAGTTCTTCTTTCCGGCTGCTTTAGCGTATGCGGGCGATTCCAGAGCGCGAATGGCACGTTTCACTGTAGGGTAAATCAGCCGTGTTGCGGACAACCGGATCTAGGTTTCATGTGATAAGCACCTTTGAACATGTCCTTCCTCTGTCCATCCATGATACACGTTCTCGGCTTCAAGTTCTGAGATCGCAAGAACTGTGCAACGGCGATGGCTTTGGGGTCTGGTGGATTCGATGGGTTCACAGGGACTTGATGCGTAGTCTGTTGTGGCTGGGGCTGTTGTGGTGCCTGCTGGCCTTGTTCCTCTTGCTGACCTTGCTGCCCCGGTTGTCCTGGCTGTGGAGATCCTTGGCCCTGTCGTTGGGCCTCGACCTGCTGTTGGTGAGCAGCGAGAGCTCGCATTCTCAGTTGTTGGACGTATTGCTCGGTGGACATGCCATGCTTCGCGGCTTCGGCATTCAGCTGTTCGCGCTGCTGTTTAGCGAACTCCTCCGGAGTCATGCCACGCCTTGCGGCCTCAGCAGCGAACTGTTGCTGCATGGCGGCAATCTGCTGGGGAGACGGCTGGCCAGGCGCCGCCATTTTGTAGTAATGTGAAAGATGGAGATGGAGTCGGAATCAATTAATAATAGTACTGGCGGGGGTCTCGAGAATTTCCTCGAACTTGACGGAGGAAAAAAATGTCTAGCGACTTAGAGGACAAAGTAATATGGTCGCAGTTGGAACTCGAGGATCGACGGGAACTTTAGAAGTGGCCAGATAATAAATGTTCCAGCTCAAAAGGGTAAAGCCGTAAGCCACGCCGCACCGCCTTCTGCGGCGGAGGAATCTCCGTCATCGCTCGTGTTATCAGTTCATTTACTTCGTCTTTTCCCCCTCCATTCTCTTCTCTTCTCTTCTTGTCTCGAATGGCTGCCCTTGCGCGACCCTTTCTAGTACTGTCCATCTGCCATGCGTATATATAGGATCTCCACAGCTCCATGTCATTAAATTACAACCCTGACCAGCCATCCCTCATCAATACGAAATGGGAAACGATCTTTCTGGTAAGTTACCCATCCCATGTCGGGGAAGTATACAGAGAAAGTAGAAAAAGAATGAATCAGCTAAACACCGTAATAGAGCGAAAGAGATGTCGCCGGCCAAATTCCAATCAACTATATCACCAGCTCTGGCGTATCCGTGACAGCAGCATGTTTTGGCAACAATGTATTCGAGACGCAGTCCGCTGAAAAATGTATATCCAATCTGTTATCGGTTGGATACCGACGCTTTCTCGTCGATCTGTATTGGTCGGTGGGCTTGCGGGCTTGGACGTTTTGCCCAGTGGCTATTCCAAAGAATGTTCCTGTTGTCACTGTTTCTACGACGCCCACAATGATCCCAACTGCAACTGCCAGTGCTGCTCAAAGTACTGCTACCCTCGTTTCCAGTTCATCGGGATGGCCGGTCTATGAGCTAGGTCCCTATCTGTGCTCAGAGAATCTCGAACTATCTGGTCTCATCGATGTCTTCCAGGATTATTTCAAAGACACAACGTCTCAGTTGAATGTGTACATCAGATACCTAACGTTCAACCTGCATGTTGCTGCTAGCGCTGCCGCTCCGGAACAGCCTGCATCAAAGGTATCGGGTGATGGGTTGCCGTCATTTGCTGAACGAGTTGATGTTTTGATGGATAACCGTCTTTTTCACTATATCTACACACCGTCACAGCTGGCCAACGAGCGCAGTAACCTAAACGAGTCTTGGTATGAAGTCGATGATGGATACAAGCCTATTACAGAATATTTCACAACTTACGAACTCTCTGATGGTACACAAAGTACACCGGACGGCTGGCCAGCCTCAAAATATGTACAACTTGCAAAGGAGCGCCGTCTCTTTCTTGAGTATGGCTCTGTGGACCCCCAACTCGAGGACTACAAGTTGGCCGCGGGTAAGAGCGAGGTCATCTTTCCTCCAAGATATCTAGCATCCTTAGTGCTCGCGCCTTCGGCCGATGAAGGAGGCTTGGGTTACGGTTGTCTCTATGACTCCGATGCCTTCCAGGTATCTCAGGTGAACTCCTCTTGGGCGCTCTCAAGTAGCCTGTCTCCGCCTCAAGGCTTGAATGAGACATATGCTTTGCGTGAATTGTCGGACAGGGTTGTAAATCTAACCGCGTGTGGGTTGACACCAATTGTCAATGACACCCTCTTCAACAAAACCGCCGACCAGGCGGTCGAACCATATAAGAATATCTCTCTATCTTCTACATGGGCTTGGGCAGAAGGTGAACCCCAGGGCGCCGATGTGGGGGACAATATTGATTCGCCCCAACATGACCGATGCGCAATTTTGGACGTGTCACTAGGCGGCCACTGGCGCGTTGCGAACTGTACGGATGTGCGCCGAGTCGCCTGCCGAGTCGCGAACTTGCCATATACCTGGACGATATCCAGCACTGCACATAGCTACACCAAAGCCTACACGGATGCTTGCCCAGATAACACGACCATGGGAGTTCCTCGCACAAGCCTAGAAAATACGTATCTCTATCGATACCTCCTGACTCAACCGAGCAACATTATCGATCCTACGTCTCCGGACCCCGCTAAGCGTGAGATTTGGCTAGACTTCAACTCCCGGGATATTACGTCATGCTGGGTGACTGGTGGGCCTAATGCTAAATGTCCATATGCGGCGGATCCTAAACAACTGGAGAAAAAAACAGTGCTGGTGTCTGCCATCGCAGGCATCGTTATTTGCATCATCACCGCACTGACACTATTCGTAAAGTGTAACACCAACCGGCGCAACTCGAGACGAGGCAAGCGAAAAATCCAAGGGTGGGAATATGAAGGTGTCCCTTCTTAACGTATGCAAATCTGATTCCAGATCTGATGCTAATATTCTACCGACACAATTTAACGTTTGGAAGCCGTTTTGTGATATGAGGCCATATTTATTGATACCCAATGTACCCTTATAGTGAGCAATGTATATAAGTGAATTCACCTCATCGGGTTGTATATAGTTTTACTGATGAATGTATATACTTACAATATCTAGATGATTCCTCGGCATCACATGCCACAACGAGGTTTCTTTATAGCTCCTCATACCCCCCCGAAACTCACAAGATCTTATTAGTTATACTCGATAAACAAAAGAGAACCCACTTCTAGAGCATCTTATTGGAAGAACTTGCATCAACAGCGACCTGCGTCGCAACAAAAAACCTGGTCTACAGCGATATATACAGGAACATGGCATATATAGTATCGCATGGTACGTTCAAAACGAACAATATTCAGTCATATATAACCAGTAAGCAATTGACAGCGTGGGATATCCTGATTCGTTCATCGCTGTGAGAAATAAAAGAGAAAAGCATGTCGCGAGTAACGGCATTATATGGATATAAATATAATAGTTCGAGGGCAAGAAAAAAGAGAGAGAGAAGGAGGGGTGGTTTGCAAATCAAGGAGAAAAGAAAAAGCAAGGAGGCCATGATGTTATAAGAAGCTCGGAACTGTAAAGCGCTGATGCAGGATGGTATGGTATAAAGCTTTTTGGTTAGACACTGCTGGCTATCAAAGCCGGCAAAGAAGGAAATGGTTCTGGCGCAGTTGAAAATGATGATAAAAGATAATAGTGGTATCTAGTTAAGAAGAGAGGTCGCTCTCTATATGCATATGCGATAAGCAAGGACTGGGATATGGCTGAATAAAAACAGCAGAGGACGATGGCTTATATGCCGTTGACGGTCCGTGGGTGTCGAGAACCAAGGCTTTGGGTTGCTGGTGGAAGAGGCACGTGAGCAGGACGAGGTGCGGCACTGGCCAGGCTTTTCCGACGTAGTCGGCCCCCTTTTGATGGTGGTGGTGACGTGCACATACGGGGCTCCGGGAATTGCTCAGCTATTTCAGGAAGCGATGGCTCAACTGGAGAAGGAATCTTTGGTAAAGGACAGTCAGGAGGAGGTAATGCCGGGGGTCCAACTGAAAGTCCAGGCATACTCTTGCGACGCAGCATGGGCCCAGTCGAAGGACGATTTGGCGTGGCTGTCGGAAAAACAGAAACTCTGTGGCGTTGCTGTTCCCGACGAGACGCTTGATAGCTGGTCTCCGGGGGGGACTGTGGGATTTTTGAATGGGCAGGCTCATGCTCGATAATACTAGGGGGTCGCGAGGATTGCGCAGCGGTTGATGTTGCAGCGGCGGCCTTCGAGGTGCGCGAAGTATGCTGCAGCTTTGGGTCCGTACTTCTAGAATCTCCGAGCGAATCCTCCGAGTTGGACATGCGCAAAGACCTCCTCTTCGGGGAATCACGGAAAGGTACGACTTGTTCATGCGATTCGCTCATTGCGACGCTAGTAATACTCTTGATTGGAGACTGCGGTGGAGACGGGAAGGCAGAGATAGTATTAGCCTCGTCTGTGTCGGTTTCGTCGCTGCGAGCGGAGGGGAACCGAGGGATTTGCATCTGGCCTTGCCCCATTCTGGCCGTGAATCTCTTGCTGAAAGATGGAACACTGAAGTTCGGGGCTGGGGGCGAAGCACTTCGCAAAATAGGATCAGGCACCGTTTGCTGGGACCGGGAAAGGTCGGAGGTTTCTGCTACTGTTGGCGCATTCGAATGGTGCATTGACTCTCGCTTCACTGAGCTCGAGAATGTTGGGCTTCTGGGCGGGCCATCTAGGGTAGATAGGACCGTCGAAATAGCGCTGCCATTCGGAGGTGAACTGGCTTCGTTTGCTTCGGGCTTCAATCCCAGAGAGTAGAAACGTGTCTGACCACTGACCGGAGAAGTTACCTCCGTTTGTGTCGTGGACATCGATTCGGAGCGTGACTCGGGAGTAGCTTGTGTAACCAGCGACCGTCGTTTAAATGAGATATATGAGCTTCGGCGAGATTGATCACTGAAATCTTTATCATCAACGCCGATCACTGGCTGAGGATGCAGATAGGCTTGGGAGAACCGGTTAGGGTCCTTCTTTACCAACTGTCGGATGCTGGGTTTAGACTCCAGTTGATGGTCCGTGTCATCGTCAACCGCTTTCTCCGAGACATACTTCTTCCCTCCACGTGCCTCGATCTGCGCCCTGACAGCTAGAAGCCACGAACTCATTTCTTCCGGGGTGTTTAGAACGAGAAGAAGACTCCGGGTTAAACGCCGAGCATGCGAACGGTGAAAACCAAAGCGGGAGAATAGATGCCGGTGCGTGTCGGTTGATGCAGCATTGTTTTCATCGTTCATTTGGGAAATTTGCAAAACCCAATGCTTGCCCGGGATCGCATCGCTCGCAAATGCTACAGACTTGGGACCTAGCTGCAACATCTTCTCCGGCAGCCGATCAAACTTTCCGCTACCAGCGTACTGCAAGATATACCCGGCTGTGACCAACACATAAATCTTCGGAGACCAGTCAGTCTTGCCGATCGTCTCAGACAAGGAGCGCATGTGCTTTTTCTTCTCTTTGGCCTCCTTCTTCCGAGCCGCTGGATTTTCTGCTTGAGAGAATTCGTTCTGAGTGCTGCTTTTTTTGGCCGAAGATGTGGCCTGGATCCGCAAAATGGATTCCGCAGACAGAGAAGGTGTCGAAAGATTATCATGTTTAATTGCCTGTGGGTAGGCTTGGAATAGCGGGGGAGGTTTCCAGCCTATCTCACCCGCCGCTGGCTTGTCCTCACTAGTTTTCTGGCGAGATTTTGAGGGTTTGGACCTAGGAGGGTCCGCTGCAGGCGAAGTCATAACTGTCGGCGTGGAGAACGCTGTTTTAGGCGTAGCTAATGTTGGTGAAAGAGGGGCAGCGAGATCTGGGGCAGCCTGTGCCGCAGGATCCTGCGTTTCCTCAATTTCGGAGAGCTTGGAATCGGTGCTCTCTTTGTGGGCTATTCTTTCACGGCTGAAGATGCTACGCAGGCCGGATTTAGAGGACTGCCGCTTGACTGGGGTCTGTAATGGAACGCGCTCGCCTGCCTCGCCATCATTCTGATACTCCTCCGGCCGTGGCCGATTGGGACGAGTTGCAACCACAGTCGGCCGGGCGCTTGGGCGGCTGAAGTTGGTTTGTAACGGGGCTAGAATCTGGCCTCTGCGCTCGCTGACCGATGATTTAGGCGGATCGGTGTTCACTGTCATTCTGCTGTCTTCGGTTGACAGCTGTCTTTTTCTCGGGCCCGAGAGCTGATTGGGTATCGTGCGAATAGAAATGTGTTAGTCCTCTCGCCATGCGCTTCAATGTAGATGAGCCACTGGTCAGATGAGAGAGGCGATTAGTAGGGAGTGTACGGTTGACTCAAACAGAGCGTGGTCGAAGGAATGACGAAATGAGCAGAAAGTGCGGTTCGAGGTAGGCCTTCTTTCTCCACAAAAGACGGTGGGATAATGGGCATTGCAGTATCGGATGGACCCACGGTGTCTACTAGATAGTGCATTGATCACCAATTGAGGAGAGCCAAAGAGATGTGGTATCAAATGGGAGTTGCAAGACCGATTCAAGAGCAATAATGATCGTCTGACGGCCCGAAATCGTGTCGTAATGGATAATAAATGAAGGAAATTGAGTGAGGGGTCGCTACAATAAATCAATGGGCAATCTGACTACTCTATCGACTGGACGGAAGCCATGGTCCTCCAAAGCGCTCTAATTATGGTAAGTGAGTGTCAAGAAAGTAAGATGGGGAAGGTCGAGTGTGGAAGGAGAGAAGAGGAAGAGGTCTTGTCGAAAAGACCAGGTCTGGATGGGCGATGAGAATCCAGCCGCAACGGAGTCATGACCAATTTTTTTTTTTTTATTTTTTTTCCTTTGTGTTAAAAATTAAACCGGACGGACGTACCAATGCACACTAGTCTGTGGCTAAGGAAGCTGCTGCCTTAGTCGCGGCGGTATAGTGTTGGCGATGAGCAGACCTGAAACAGATGAGACTGACAAGCGAAACTGGGAGTGGAGAGCGGAAGCGTTCTGAGACAAGAGGATTGAAAACGAAGCACAGATTTCATTGCGATCTGAATTTCTGATCGGACGCGTAGTTCAGCGTCGAGTCCATGCCAAAACGTCTTTCGACCCAGATGACGAAAACGCCCGTCCTCCGTACGGAGTAAATATTCTCCCAAGCCCCAACACACTGAAAGATGAGAATACCCCTGAAATTCAGCCCCTCGAAGGTCTCCACCTTGGGTTAACGGTTTTCCGCTGATTGGGCCGAGGATAGTGGAAATGGGAATGGAATCATCGCTAGCTGGTTAGTTAAACGATAGTGAGCCTGGACACACAGTTTCGCCGTCGATCGCTGTCAGAACAGGGTCCCGTGTGGCGTACCTGTAGATCTCGACCACCAATGCCTTACGCTCACAATTGAGGGCAGTTTCAACTCGTATTGCCTCGGAGGAGGAATCGAGAAATTCTGGATTATTTTTGGATGATAAGCTTGGCTTTTTCTTTTTTTGGGTTTTCAACCTTATTTGTCACGCGGCACGAGACCCGCGTTTATGCACGTCAGGAGGGTTGTGCCGCTGACTAACTATTCCCCCCCTTAACTTGGAACTTCGTGATGAGCCCCTTACCGTTTTTGGTCTTGGACTCGGTAAACTCCAATCCGACCTAATGGCATAACTAATTAAAGGCCGATAAGACTTAAATACGAGTAGGTCTAATAAGATGAACGTCTTATAGTCTCTCGGTCCGTGTTATTAACCCGGTTCCTCGGTTCCGCCCTGTGGGGAGTTGGAGAAAGAAAGAGGGACCAGTGGGTGTCATATTGGCAACATCTACTCCATATTATCGACCACTTGATATTTACCATCAATCGTATATTCCAACTTGAATCACAAAAGAAAAAGAAATTATCATCTGTCGTGCTATCGCGGTGATTCATCCACAATTGATTCCTCACATACGCACACCACAAAATATCCTCATTAGCAGCGTACGTGTCCTATGTAGTATGTCACCAAATTGGTGGATCGCGGGTAGGAACGCCGATGGTAGCTCTCCTAAACCTTTGCCCTCTCTATGAAGTTACTCTAGAAGTTCTAACTGTTCATGAGCATGCCTTAGTTTAAATATGATAGGTCCGAATCTTCCTCTTTCACTCTGTGGATGCTGGATTAACTTTTTTTTTTTTTTTTTAAATTAAGGACTGAAGACAAAACCTTTGTGACGAACGTACTAGTCCTAACAATACAAGTATTAAGCCCCCCCCCCCCCCTGAATGGCTATTTCATCAGTGCCATCAGACATATCATCTCAGGTGCTACTCACGAAAGTTAGCTCCCATCCCAGTTGAAGAGTCAATCGTGTCCAACGAAATAAATCACCGTGTTATCATCTGGCAGCAAATAATCCTCCGTTAAAACAAGTGCATTTGGATATACGGTTTGCTCATGAGAGAACTAGACACATAGTAACCTGAGGAAACGAGGTGTTCCTTTTTACTGTATATCCAATTCAGCTTTCGACCATGTGTGGCTTTGGTGAGTCCCACACTAACCACGCTCGAAATAGCCAAGCTCAAAGAGTGACATTCACATACGCATAAAGCTCTCATTGCCGTGAGATGATGGTGCGGTGTCTGTTTTACCTTCTTTTTCGCTCATCAAGATCCGTATGACCGTGCTAAAACCCCCCATAGAGGAGCACCTCCGCTCCGATTGCGGGCTCTTCCCGGACAATGCCCATGATGAAACCTAAGAGGCTATCTCATATGGAGTACAAATGGGGCTCCTATTTACAGACCACTTGCTTAGGTGAACTTCTTCTCCTTTCCCTTCCTCTTTTCCATGTTTTTGTCGGCTAGATACCTATTTTCAAGCCCTAGGACCTGTATAGATTTTCGAAGGGAGTGTACTGATTTCAATAGCTATGTCCTTCACTTGTTCCATTCACGTCAGGGCGAAAGCAAACTCGTACCACTAAAATTCTAAGTGATGAACATGATTTATTCAATTTTATTCCTCTCATCCTCTTTCGACCCTGCTTTTGTCCATGTTGCACAAAAGTTCAGGATCGTTGTGATGGTTAAGCTCTCGATATATTCTTGAGCCAGGTAATCGAATCGTTAGAGTTATCATACAGTGACATATTAAGCGGCGATAGAATATTTATCTATTGCACCTGAGACATTAACGAAACCAAGGCATCGAGTGAGTGCCCTCGTGGACCTTGACACCCAGTCAAAAGGTATACCATCTGACATGCACAAGTTTAGGGTGTGACACACAGTCTACTGTATCTATAGCTCGCGTAGCAGAAGGACTCTCCATCAAAAGCTCTCCCCCGCGAGCTCCTCGCTTAGACTCCAGAACCAATCAGCCAGTACGGGATCCCTAGCGTACTTTCTTGCCTCGCAAACTTGGCAATCTTCCATATACGCGCCACATGCGTCCGTCAACTTTGGGAATAATGCGCTACCAGTGTGGTAGAAATGCCCTGCTCTAGAGACTTCGGCAGATCTCGACCGAATGGAAGTCCGGTGTTCTTACGGGATACTTCATCCATGGGATCAAGGTTGGGTCTGTGAGAGAAAAGGGAAGTCCCCGGAATATCTACACCAGAATCAGTTTGACCTAATCGAAACAGTGCAGAGGGTGAACAACTGACAGCCAGGGTGCGCCGCATGTGACAATATGCCGTGCTTCTTATAGCACTGTGCCAGGCCAACCGTAAATAGGATATTCGCTGTCTTGGATTGTCCGTATGCGCTCAACGGGTGATACGTTTGACCGTTCTGGAGCAGTCAGTTTCCATCTCTTCAGTACGTAGGCGAATCAGGATCGAAAGTCATACTGAGAAATTCCAGTCATCGAAGAAAAATGGTGCCAAGCGGTAAGCTGTACTGGCGACATTGACGATGCGAGATCCAGGGCCAGCGTCCAGTATAGAAGGTATCAACAGTTTCGTAAGGAGGAATGCCCGAGATGGTTAATGGCAAGGGCCCTTTCCAAACCACTTTTACTCTTGCTCCAGGGGATAGTCATGACACCAGCGTTATTTATCAGTACATTAATCTTAGAGGTAATGCTAAGGACATCTGCTGCGGCCCGACGAACGGAGTCAAGGTCGTCAAGTTCAATGTGCACGAAAGCAGGCTGAGTCTCAGGACTGATCTCTTTGATTAAAGAGATGACATTGCGCGCCTTGTTCTCCGTGCGAGCAAGTAGAACCAAATGTGAGGGCCGTGCCGATGCCAGAGCAAGAGCAGTAGCGCCTCCGAGTCCGCCCTCACTGGCACCGGTAAGCACAACTGCTTCCCAATTAGCATGAACCCAGCATATGATGCTGTGGTACCTACCAACTTTGCCTTCAATCAAGCTTCCCCATCTCTCGACCACTGACTTGCCTTCAGTATCAAACCCAAAATTAGACATGGCTAAATGTACTGTAGGAGTGTTGCAACGGGAAGAGTGATCTCCTTTATGCTTTCCTGATCGACGACAATGTACAGAAAGTCCGTCAGCTATGGTGTTGTACTTATAGCCATGGAATGGGCTGCAGCCTTGACTTCAGACATTGATCATTCAACTTGACATGACACAGGGCTCCTCATCCAAAGCTGTATATCATTTGAGCGGCCAATCAATCGAACAGACTCCTTCCGCCAAGTCCGCGCGATGATCGGGGGAGACTAAATGATTACTCAATTAAGTCCACAGGACAATCCTGAGTCAGGGACCAGGGCGAGTGGTGGCTCAATGTACGCCGTAAGGTGGCCAACCATTCAACCCTATGGAAGCGGTGGAGACTCCACGCACAGGTGATTACCGATCATTTCTAACCCCGCGAGGAAACCCCACTATACATCTTTCCCTACGAAAAGGTAAAGAGGATGCAGAGGACAAACAGACAATGGGCTAGAATCTAAGGGCAATTCCAAATCATCCCATGCGGTCAACCGTAGCACAGGATGCGGCTGTCCTCAAACCCGATGTCGATTCGAAGGACGATTGGCACGGCATTACGGACCGGGTCGAGCGACATATATTTGAAGATCTGGCATCGGCTGCTTCCCAGAGCTACTATATTTTAGGCTGCCCTGCTGTTGGCCAATTACTGTCCCTCACTAGAATAAATGTATACCGTGCCTTTATCAGCAACACATGGTGATATCGCTTCCATCCTGGCCACACAGCGCTCTTGTCACCACCATCCATGGCTAGATTTCTTTCCGCACCCTCGAGTGCGAGATAATCCTATCTGTGCACAGGAACGGTACGATGATGAACTCTGCGCAGATATACTGAGCTTCTGGAACCCAAACCCAACTGACGATATGCTGCTGGTCTGGGGCGAACCATCTGATGCGCAGAATTGGGAAGTGACTGAAAGTTTATAAAGGAATGGGGATGGGCCATTCATGGCTGCGCCCAAAGATCCTGGGGAATACCAATAAATGGCGAGCTCAAAGAGGGGAGTATCTCATCTTTCGCTACCTATAACGAACCCAATGTATAAGCGTCAAGACTCAAAGCATAGCACTGAGACCTGATTCATAGCAATCCAACCGCTTTCAGTGCCAATATATAACTGGCTTACCTTTCAACACCAGCATTCTTAACACCACCCTATTGCCCAATAGTACCCCGAGTAACTTTCCAAATGATGAGACATCATTGCATCCCGACGTAACATACTAGTACTTCAGAAAAGAACAGTCACGTGAATATCCCTAAAAGCGGCAAGGCCCCATAGACGCGGAGATGGTCCGTTCACCGGCAGAATAAAGCGACGCAACAGCTAAGCTAGCTCTATACAATTGTCCGCCAGTTCATCAATCTCCACAACAAACATGAACACCGTGTCCAGGGCGCTACAACGCCCCAGTCGATCACTGACATCGCACCTCCGCCGATCAGCCCGCCAACACCACCACCGATCTTTCCCATCCCCCGCCGCCTATATCGCCACTTCTCACCAGACTCTCCGCTCCGCATCGCCATCTTTTCTCCGCCATCCAGCAGCACCTTCGCAAGCGCACCGAACTTTCTCGCACAGCTCAACAGCCATGGCCGCAGCACCGACATTCGCCCGAGGCATAGACGGAAGCCAATTGCAACCGGAGCTGGACTCGTTACTGGGACAAGGATGGGCGCTGGACGAGGATGGAATGGGCGTGAAGAAGACATACTACTTCAAGACGTATTTCAAGGCAGTGGTATGTTCATTTGCCATTCTTCCTCTCCTCAACAAGCTTCTACTTGACTTGAATACATACACACATACAGAGAGAGCTTCCTGTTCTCCGTCTATAATCCACCCAGAGCTAACAACCCAAACCCCCAGAGCTTCGTCAACGTCGTCGCATCGCAAAGCGCAACCAAGAAACACCACCCCACCATCACGGTCGTGAGTGCCCCAACTCCAACCCAACAAAACTAAATCAATCCTAACAAAAGGGTCCAATTCCACCAAAATAGCGAATCGGCTCCGTCGACGTCCACTGGACAACACACCAGCCGCGCGGTCTCACGGATAAAGACCTGACGATGGCGCAACACTGCGACGAGGCGGCGGAGTTAATGGGCGCCGTGGAAAAGGAACAAGGGAAGAAATGCGGTCCAGGTCCTTCTTCTCCGACTCCGTCGTCGCCTGGATTATAGTCGCAAACGGAATATATATTAGAAATAATCGATCGTTGTATATGTATATTTCATTATCCAGTCAGAATATCCCTCGCTGTAGGATGATGTATAACAATCTACCTGCATCCGCGCTCAATCCTCCCTGCATATACCTATATACAGACAGTACATGAAAACATACACGCCACACACGACGACGACGCAGTGTAACGACGGACGGACGAAGGGTCTCGGCTCGTCCATTCTTGAGTCCCTCCAGCTTCCATCACTCTCCAACACAAACAAATCCAAATCACATGCCCACGCCAAAGAATCCGCCCACAAATCTAGAACTCCCCAAAGAACCCCCCTTCATCCTTCCCAGATCCAGACATCCCCATTCCGTAGCTCGCTACCTAAGAATGATGCCGGTCCAGATACTCCCCCATAGCCTCATTAGCATGACATGCATAACAGAGATCCCCGGCGTACCAAATACCAAATACGACCACACCAGATAAAACAAAACAGATAAACAAACCCACAAGTCAATGAGGTCAGTGAAGTCATGAAGTCATGCCCCACTAGTAGTACTAACGTACCCCATGTACCCAAAACGGCCACCAACCTTAAGCTTATCTGGGTAGGATCGGTAGGTCTCATGGGTGGGCTGCACGCGAGTCAGGAATAGAGTTGCGAGGGGTAGTACCGGAACCCCCCCTCTCCTCTGTAATGGTACCTGGTTTGGTTGGAAAGGGAGCTGTGGAGATTTGAGATCGCGGGTTGTCGGGTTGAGGTCCCGGATACGAGAATGAACTCAATTCGAACGGTTCCCTGATGCGGCGATTCGGCAGGATCATGGAGTCATACCGTGAGAGACGCTTTAAGGATATGCGATCAAGGGGTCCCACCCCCACAGATCGGTACCAATATCTCCCCCCCTCCCCCCGCAGGACACATGTGGAATGGATCCTGATCATCCCGTATAACATCCCGGATCATGACATAACTCTGGCTAGGGTGGACGGCATGGTATCTACTTCCCGCGGAGGGTTACATTGACTTGACACGAAACGGTCAGTGGCACGCCAACCATCAAGTTCCCTACGACTCTAGAGAAGCACAGCCGGTAAACATTTGAGTTTGTATTACAGCCTCATCGACACATCGCCGGAAGCAGCACTTGAAGAAACCGTGGTTGGGAATCAAAATGCAATACATACACAAGAACAGAGAATGAACAAAACAGAGGCTTGGGAAAATAAGAAGATTAAACAAGAAATTAAAGCCTATTAACGTGCAATCAGGCGTACGATCGCTCGAACGCACACGTCAAGCTTGAACACCCGTTTTGCAACACAGATGTACACGTTCGTGATACTCCAAAGTACATACATCTGCACCCCTCCAGTGGAATCCCCCATGAATGTGAAACCCAAAAAAAAAGAACCTCATAGAAACAAGAAGTAGAAAAGAGAAAAGTATTTTTGAGAAGATCCGCACCCTGCCAATCCACAAAAGGACCCTGGACGTAACCAAGACAAGGGTCACCGCATGTCGGTCATTGGCGGAAAGTAGCCTTCGTCAATCGTTTCCGTAACATCGTCATCATACAACTCAATCAGCCCCGGGCCAATGTTGTAGAGATGTCGAGACGTGCTCATCTATTGATTAATACTGTTCCGGCGGGAGTTGACGCGCGAATTCACCCGGGAGTTGGCATGCGAAGCAGGGCGGGATCCAATATAGCTGCCCTGACGACTCCCAAGGTTTTGACGGATGCGCAAGTTCTGCTGGGACCGAGCAAAGGAGTTCGCCCGGGACCCAGAGGGGATCTTCGAAAGCCGGCGCCCGTGGGTTTGCATTTCGACGCGGGCATCAGACAATTTCTGGGCAAAGGGCGAGCGCTTGCGCAGTGTCGGTCCGTACCAATAGATCACATAGACCGCAATCACAAGCACGAATGAGATGCAGAACAGAATCGTAGATGCGTACTCCAGATGGTATTTTCCACCAATATCTGAACACCTCTAGTTAGCGCTTGCTGTATTTCTAGCCAATCTTTATGTGTCACTTACTCTGGTAAAATGGAGTAGCAGGGATGGTAAGAACACCAGCGAGGAAGTCTCTCGCCCATCCATTTCCACCCGTTGCAGAGGCCGAGTACGGACCGTATGCGCAGACCATGTAGTCGATAGTCGCCATGTAGATACTATAGTTAGCAATACCGACGATCGCCGAGAAAACCATAGTTCCAATCCAGTGCGTCTGGGGCAGACTGGTCCATGCGAAGCCAATCAAACCAATGGGCAAACAGGGAGCAGTATACAACAACCACCAGAGTCGGGATTCGTATTGGGTATGCTCATCATCTGGCCTCATCCGGCGTTCGTAGACGTTTCTCCTGATCGCGGGCACAAAGGAAGCCCATGCAATGAAATAACCCACGAGAATCGGAAGGAATGACAGACCTAAGGCTATGGTACTGAAGTTCCATTGCGCATACACGAGACCGAAGGATTGAATGAACATGAAGATCAGGGCATCACTGAACCCACTCAAAAGAGAGAGGCAGAGGACGATAGGCTCAGTCAAGAACATCTTGAATGGACGGATCCAGGTGACCAGAATTTCCCTCATAGAGAAACGCTCCCTGTAGGGGATGAGTTCGTTAGGCCCATAGAGGTTAGGATTTTCGCCGCTCTCTCTCTTCTTCTTGGCAATCCGGTCCATCATAATCGTAGTCCGCGTCTCAGGGACGAGGAAAAAATGGAGAATTTGAACAAACCCTCCAAAAATGAGCTGGATCCAGATGTTCCAGCGCCACGGCAGGAATGTTTCAACAAAGCCACCCACAACTGGTCCAAGTACCGATCCACCAACAGAAGAGAAGACCACACAGGCTACAGCGTATTGCTGGTCATCAGCTTCCCACAGATCTGCAATCATACCGAGCGTGACCGATCCTCCGGCGGAACTAAGACCACCTAGTGCACGGCCAACCATGATAGAGGCGAAATTCGGGGCGAGTGCAACCGGGAGTTGCCAAACATTAACCAGGAACAAACTCGCCTGGAGAATCGGTTTGCGACCCAGTTCCTCGCTCCACGGAGCCCACAGCTCGCAACCAAACGCATAGAGCACAAGGAAGATCATCGCTCCACAACGAGCAGCCTGCATACTCACGCCAAACTCCTCCGAAATACCCCCCAGCGCATTGGAGTACAAACTGGTGTTGAAATTCATAGACACCTGGACAAGAAAGATGACTGAGATGATCATCCATTTTCTCCAACTTGGGAAAGAGTAGCCTAGCTGATCGTAGCAGTCTTCTTCTGTTAACTCGATCTTCCCCCCGTCCAAGGCAGTGTTTTCCAGCTGATGGAAGGTAGTTCCAGCAGCCGCAGGGTCATTGGCCAAACCCAGTTGAGGTTTGTGCAGGCCCGTCTCTTTTTCACTAAGGTCGAATATTCCATCGGCCTGAGACGAGGAAGAAGCTCCCGACTCATGAAGCTTCTCATCTTGGTTTATGGCCTGGTCCGAAAGAGGGGCCATATTTGATCCTATAAATTGCTGGTTAGAAACTCTGGGGGAGAGACAGGGAGGGCAAGGACGTAGTATCCTGACAATATGGAAGCTCAAACCGAGTGAGGGAGTCCACGGAAGATAAGAGTGATAATAACTGCAGATGTGTAGAAGAAGTGAGACTTACAGAGTAGGCAATAGCGATCTTCCCAATACAGTGACAAGTGATGTGCAAGTAGGTTCAAATGTTTACAAGTGGAGGTAAGTGGAGGGTGTACCACGAAAGAAGATAAGAACTTATATAGACGTAGTATGAAAACGGAGGGGGAGGGTGGTTGAAGTAGGAAAGAGGAGATGAAAAGGTGGGAAGGGAGGAGAGGATATAGAAATAGAAAAAAAGAAAAAAAGTAAAAAAAGAAAAAGAAAAAGACCGAGAGAGAGAAAGCAGTGACAGAAAAGGAAAAGACGCAGCCAAATCGTGCTTTGCAGCTCAAACAGGTAGCCACCCAGAAAGGGAAAGTATGGGGGAACACTGAACAGGCCTGAGGAACCAAGTGGAAATACTACCTCACCCTAAACTTACCAGATAGACAGTATTCCCTGTCCCTCGTCCTGCCTGTTGGTCATCTACCTATCCTTGCCTTTTTTATATTTTCTTTCTTCTTCTTCTCTTTTTCTCTATACCTACGAGACCAATAAGAAGATAACTTCTCGCGAGGAAATTGATTCCATGCAGATGAGAGAAAGAAACCGAAATGCGTGCTTTTTCTTTTAACACACTCCATTTCTTTTCTAATTATTTTATTTTATTTTTAATTTGTCCCTCTTTATGCATTGAAAATTCGATCATCCACTGATTTCATGGCCCAAATTCGTCTTTCAACGGGAAACTAGACCGCATGGGACATGCATCAAGGAAGAACCTCCTTGACGATGGTTGGCCCATGGTTGCAGACCAGGACCGAATCAGGAAGACGGGCTGCATTCCACTTGGACTCCAATGTCATCCACTTGCCACGCCGGCCGAAGTCTGTCGTCCAAGCTGCGAGATCTGACTTCCCCCGGACATTGCACTAGTCGGAGGCGGATAGTCCCCCTACATCATGGGCGCATAGCCTGCCTGACTGGCGGCCTACAGCGACCGTCCCCACGGGTATGGTAAAAAAAACATCCCGCAACAGGGTAAAAACCGAGGCCGGTGGTTTCGGTACCTCCACCTTAGCGCAGATAGGGTATCCAGCAACCATTACTGGAAGCGTTCTGGGCCGGGGGAGTCGAGGAATGCCCGCTTCGGGAAAGAAGTGAAAAGTGGCACGGGACTGAGAGAGTCCCACATCGGACACACAGTATTACTTATGCAGGCTATACGAACGGCAATGCTTTAGTACTTTCATGATTAAGATTCTGCGGGATTTAATTATAGGATACTCGAAAGTAAGCCGAAAGAGATTATTGCTGAATCGCGACGGGACAAGGTTGTGATCCATGAGATTAGGGTTGGGTTGGTCGTGACCCGATGCAAGGGAGTCGGCATCAGCAACCACGAGTTGCGTGGCTTCCCGATGGGCGGTCGGTATTAAACCGAATTTATGTATTTGGATCGGGATGATAAGCAACCATGAAAAAAGTATTTCGTAACACCTCGTATTTGATGGGGAGAATTTTCCTGTTCATTACATTGCAATGAGCAAAATAAATGGAGCCGTTCCCTGTAATGAAGGTCCACTCATATTGGGCCCAGTTTTTTTTTTCTCCTCTTGTCCCATGGGGGTTCTTGGGCCATTCGGGGTAACCGTGAAATGACGTCAATCGCTTTTCTCCGGCCTTCCGCCCACCAGTACGGAGTAAGTACATTTGCTCTCTGAGGAAGTTGATCATCGTCCAGGGGCCAGAAAGAAAAGTCTATAGCCTCGTCCAGGAGACAAAAGAAAATGGAAGAGGTTTGCCTGATGTGCGTAATATTGCCCTGCAAGTATGATGGAAGTGCTTTTTTTTCTAGAAAACCATATCGAAGCCTGTCAAGGAAAATTTTCGCCCTAGTTTCTCTGTACCTTTATAATCCATCGCATGTCCAGTTTCTTCATTTAACTCGGGCGCTCTTTTCTACCCTTAAATCGTAAATACTTTGGATAGTGGGGGTTCCACCAGTCAACGTACCATGCAACGTCTCAGATAGTCAAAACACCGCACAGATAATCCTGATGATAATCCTGAGGTGTGACTTACTATGTAATTATACCGTAAGCTAACACAGAAAGCACCGAGAATGATAAAGAAGACCGAGGATCATCATTGCCACAGAGCGGTTATCTCGTCATACGTTACCATCATAGCAGCCAGGTTATGACTGGCGGTTGATACCGCCACATACGTGATGCAGCGAATAGACACAAAGTAGCATCTGAGATACACTCATTGGAAGAATAGTAATCTGATCGTCCCGAGCACTATACTGTTATGCATGTAGCTTACTGCGCAGTATAAAAGTCGCGTGACATACGATTGACTTCATGTACAACCAGAACACTCAGTGTGTATTTGTACATCGGTTTCTATTTACGTTAGTCATGAGTACGATTTCGGTGAGAACAAGCATAGCTAGCCAAGGATTCCGGGTAACCTGGGCGCTGCTGGATTCAAGCTAAGGGAATTAAGTGGCCTCTGTTCGGTCAGCCAAGGCCGGATGCCAAGTGATCCCATGGAAGAGCTAGTATTCCTCCCCTGTCTGGGCAGGGCCGAAGGAAAGTTTGCGGCTTTAATGAGTGAAAACAGAGTTGCGTCGCGGTTCGAGAATGAACCCTATCGCTTCGACATGTTCGTATAATCTTCGACTATATTATTCCCTCAGCTTCTAGAATTTTCATGGAAAAGTGCCCGACACGGCACGGGCGATGCTGATCAGACTCAGCTTATGCATAGGAGGACAACTTTATCCATCATGGATACCTGGTTCTGTGCCCTTATTTGTAGAAGGTTCATGTACATTCCAATGCATCACGTGGGACGCCTCCAGGCATGACAGTTTGGTTTGGAGATTCAGGCTCCAAATGATCGACGCTTTCATCCGGCTGTTTTCGGGATTTAATTGGCAGACTGCCTATACCAATCTCGGCCTAGACTCAAGCTCGTGACCCGTTACCGTCTGAAACGGGGCTTGACCGCCTGCCGCATGGGCACTCCGCCTTTCCAACTGCATCTACTTGGCACCAACTGACTGTCATCAGTGTTGTTTTGTTACTTGGACTATTGACATTCTCTTGGTTCCTGACAACTCGATCGATCCTCGGTTCTCAGGCAAAAGCCTATAGTTTTGATCTTTATTCCCTCGATCGCCTTCTTTGATCGGCCTGTTGGAGGAGAATGTGCCCCGATATCAACTCTCTGTCCCCGTCGCGTTCCTCTTCTGCTTCCCCGCGTCAAGTACGGAATCTCCCCACTTCTTCTGACAGCCAGCAGCATTCTTCGTCCGGGTTCTCCCCTGCATCGGCCACCATGAGTAATAACAACAACAATAATAATCAGAACAGCCATCACCATACCCCGGAGGCCCCTCGTCGGTCATCCCGTAGCTCTCGTGCGGGCGTGCCGGGCCCAGAGCGACGCCGGTCCACTGCCGGTGCCAACTTTAACCTGAATAATAATGAGCCGACTGGAGACTCCATGGCCCCGTCCGACCACCGCTCCTCACTAGGTCCTCATGGACTTCGGACGTCTAGCCCATCGAGTCTCGGAGGCAGCCCGATCATTGCGACCGGGGACCCGCATCACCAACGTGCCCCCTCGTTGGGTGAGCTGCATCAAGAACTGGAGCAGGAACAAGAAGCCCAAGTGGTATGATCCCGACTGCCACCGTATCATTTCCGTGGCGGTTAAATTGCCACCCTCTTGTCGATACATGATAACTAATCTGGATCCCGGTCAGAACCGACTCTTGCATATGATCCGAACCCAACAAACTCAACTGCAGCAATTACAGCAGCAGCAACAGGGTTCCCAGGGCACGGCCATCGACGATTCGGACCGCTCTGCGTTTCCTACTATCCCACCTGTCTCAGCTAGCGGTAGTCGAACATCAACTCAGTTTCCCTCATCGCTATCCAGCCGCCGACCCTCACGGCCGTCGAGCCAGGCGGCGTCGCCTAGTCTCCGACCGCTGTCCGATGCACCCCGCGGGCCGGAGGGACCTGAGTGGATCGCGGGCACCAGTGAGAGCCCGGCACGACGGAGCAGCCGCGACGAAGGTGCGTTCTACCAGGCCGAAGCCGCAATGCTTGCGAGAGAGAACCAAATTTTGCGACAGCGCATCCGGGATTTAGGTGAGTGTTTTTTTTTAAAGTTTTTACTAGTCATGTTTCGCACCCACCCGGACCTGGTTAACCAGAGAACAAAGAACGCCAGGTGAGTGAGTTGACTACTTCGCCCACTGGGGGTGGTGTGCGGTCGGGCGAGATCGCCGCCTCTCCTGCCACAGAAGGCGGCGCAACTGCCGATCCCCATGCGACTGTTGGAGTCAGATCGACCAGTGAATCCACAGATAAGACCTGATTGGACAAATGTAATGCCTGCATTCGAGGACGGAGTATTTCACGGTATGCTTCTCCAGATTTCAAGACGATCAATACGGAGTACATATCTCTTACAGCGGGCAACCGCAGTTCAAGGTTATATGCATTGTCTACCTTTCTGAGCCGGCTCCCGCTTTGGTCGTATGTGTGCCATCTCAAGTTTGTCTATACGAACTAGCGATCCGAGCGCGAGCCTGCAGTCACCCCACCGGATATGAACAATCATCACACCTAATCACAATAACTTTAGGGCACAATTTCTGACTGTAGGGCTAGGAGGCCCCAACCTTGAGGCGTCAGCATTGGCGGCTTACACCGAGACACTATTGTATTGTGCATATTGGGCGCCCAAGATGGCCAAAGCCGTTATAAGAGGCGTTTGCTAATTTAATAATAACAACTCCTTTCTTTCTCTTCTCGTATCCCTTCTTTATCACAGAACTACACCGATTATTAAGAGGCGCAACGATCCGAACCGGGCAAAGGTAGCTAGAGGATTGCCCGCAATCTCCACCCAATGTGAATAGATTATATTTTCGAAGACACAACAGGCACAACACATATCCCGCAGTCTTGCCAACCCCTAGGAAGAAAATTCCCATCATGAATACACCATCGGCTCTCAACATATACCACATTTCTCTACATCGAATTTCTCGACACTATTAACTCTACCCCTTGCCTAAATTCCAGTCACGCCTCCTTAGCTTCATCGTAAAGCCCATACCCCGAATGTTTAATCAAGATACTCACTAGCCAGATGTCTTCAAACTACAGTCCCACTGCCCAATGACCCTTGACAAACTACTGCGCCTTCTACAGCTAGTCTCTCTCAAAATAGTAACTGTTACTCAATCAACGACAAGATAATTTTCTTTAGATATCACAAGACACTCTTTGTCAAGAAAACACATGGTAGCCCCGAAGTTGATGTTAAATAGCAAACTGGCAGACACAGCAATACGGCGCCATTACTAACGATTCACCTGGATCATTGCCCGCAATCACATTTGCTCCCTACTACTAGTAATCTCTTCCTTCCCACCGTCCAGTTGCACGCTTGTTCGATCATTTCTTCGTTTGGCCATCTGTAGTCATTATAGCTTTGTCCACGACACGTCTTTTCCTCGGTCTACGATCGTCTATATTTACATATTCCATAACATATACGTTCACATCCCGACTAGACATAGCACGTCTCTTCAGAGACAGATATTCAAAATCAGCACATACCAGACATGATCACATCTATATATGGTAGACAAAAGATCTAACATCTTCAGCTCATTCAGACATCATGTTTCACGACGAGCCTGAGGGATATACACCAACATAGAGCACGGTCGCCGGTACGTCGAACTCCGGTCCTTAAAACAAGGTGCACATTACTTCGATGGCCTCGGAATACTTGCATCTAGATATCCTTATCGATATCGAGGGTGCGATGTCCCATCCATTCTGGACCTGAGCGCCCTGCAACTACATGTTCTCTCCAGGCCCCAGAACATTGAGTCGGCTTATTTAGATACGATATCACCGGAGAATTGTGCTCCTAGCAATGCATGGAAGTCGGTGTGGTGCCGGTAGGTTGGAGACAGATGTGATCTAGTTCAGCATTTCTCTCTATGGCCTCACTCGAGGTCTTCATAAGGTATTCTTGGAAAACTTCTCGATAGCTAAGGAATCTAATCCATTCCTTAAGAATTTAAACGACGACATCAACGTCTCCATGGCCTAACCAGTCCTTCCTTCATCTTTACGGCGACCACGAAACACTCACACTATATATATATATATATATAGAACAAGTCGAGGAGGAGAAAGAAAGAAACACACAACAGCCCCGACAGCAGTAGTATCCAAGACTACATTGAAAATCAAGCCATAGCTGTGGAACTGATTTTGCGAGCTCTCACTGCGGCAGCCGCAACTCCTCCGTTTGGCGTTGGCCAGCTTGCACTGGGGGAGCTCAGATTACGCGCAAATGACAATGATCATCAGCTAGGTCCAAGGAGAACTAGTTTTCGCCTAGGTCAGTAATGAACAAGGCACCAAACGCTGCCAAAATCGGAGCATCCTAAGGCACCAAGTCGTTGTTTTCCAGGTTGTCACTCCATGAGTTCGACGGAGCGCTTCAGTATCTTTGCCTAATATCCGGAGGCAGAGTCGCCCCACACCGCGTTTGGGGTGTTGAAAGCGCGTGCTGGCCAACGAACTACTAACCCAGAGACGGACTAAAATGGATTCCAAATCAATTATCCTCCGGTCATCGGCTTGTTCCTTATGTGTCGTGCTCGTGCGACGCTAAAGTCCAGGAGAAAAAAGATCATTAGTGAGCAATACCTGTTAGGTACTAGTAGGTAGCCACCTTACTTTTAAAGGGTTATCATCACGTATACCTAGAGAGGTGGCGGGCTAATCCTTGGAGGATTCTTTTCTTATAAACGGTCTCTTTCTCCCTCTTTCTCTCTCTAGTAAGTGTCATGGCGGGCTCCGGTATATAGTTATATAAGGTGCGGTTCAGGCGATCTCAGACCTAGGGTCTGAGAGGTATGATAACCTTTTGGCCCAGTTGGGAACGGACTTGCTTGGACACCCGTTCTCATAAGAACCCTCGGTAATTAGACTCAAAGTTATATAAGGGGATACTATAATCTCCATTAAGTATATATTCTAGTCTCTAGAGAAGGGTGGGATACGGGGACCGTCTGTTTGCTTGCTATATCACTAAAGATGGGGTTATACAATAGAGTTTTTATATCCCATAGATCAGAGAGGTTAGTTTAAGGCCGCTTATTATAGCCAAGAAAGCGAAACGCGATCCCCTCAAGGTAATCAATGTCACCAAGCTGTCTAGTGTAAGAGATATTAGGTATTAGTCTGCACTGGATCAGTGTCTATCAAGGGACTTAGAGGGAGGAGAAAGCTGCAGCTGACAGGTCCAACCAAATAGTAAGAAGTATCATGGATAATCCACCACTAACACAGGTATTGCAGAATAAGATTCTAGAATTGCCACTTGGACCGTGACTGGATTCTGTAGGAGGCTAGAACTGTTGGGCAGATTGCCAGATTGTCTACTTTGAAGATTGTAACTAGTTTGATATCAGAGAAGCTTCTCGATACCACCTGCCAAAAATATGTACTGCACAAAAGCTCTGTTATTCACTGTCATTTAACGCTGTTGGACAATAGGCTATCAATCCAGTCATATCTTCGCATTTCCCCCTCTTTTGTCCAATTTCTGTGCCGAAGGGATGATCTGTGCAGCATGTTGACTAATGGCAATTAAGTCCATGGTCTCATCACACAAAAGAACTTCCATATCCATTCTTCCATCCACAATGCGCTTGACCTCACTGCGCAAGTAGAGCCATCGAACACCGCCCGGTGGGAGATTTCTTTTCACCTCAGTCGAAATAGACAACGCTACGTTAACAGTCTCCGTGATAGGCTCCTTCGACCCATCCAGCTCCAGCTCCCTCCAGTTCGGTTTTCCTTGGATCCGAGCAAGCCTTTGGGCCGCCGCGAATTCGAGCGTCGCAGCAACACTACCCATGGGTAAGCGCTTCGTTCGTGGGAAAAAGTTCTCCTGCACTGGGAGGCTCATATCTATCGCAAACTGGATCATCTCTGTAGTCCATCGTGCTTTATCCTCGTCTTTCTGCACTGCACAGGATCCGCGAGGGAGGCAGTCCCAGCCAGGCAGGATCCATTGCTCTGTGAATTTGATATCCGAGGGCCAAGACTTCGGTATGAAGTTTCGGACATAGGAGTGACCACGTCGAAATCCATGGGGATGAAACGCAGTCTGGTAGGATGTCCACTCAGGGTCACCGTCCCTTTCGAGCACGGATAAATCAACTCGACGGGGGGTCGGCTGCCAGCCGGTCCGGAGACTGATGCCTGGCAATTTAAAGTCACAGAGCCTGGAATTACATTAGTACTTATGTGGAAGTAAGTCCAGTGGGATGGATAGGGAGGGGTTCTCTCCCACCATAGATCTGCCGATGCTGCAATCTTCCCGGATTGAAACGTCTCCACGCGTAATGTGGATCATGCTTTCCCGAGACTCACTTCGCGCAACTGCATCTGGACGGGCTTAGATGCAATAATCGGACGATAGAATTGAACCAACGCGGTTCGAATATTGGATTGCGTTCGCAGTGTCTCATGCTTCGAAGCATGGACGACGGCGTATTTCGCCATCAAACATGCCACATAGCCCCCGCAGCTGACTGTCTTTTATTATTAGTTCCGGTGGGCTGAATATTTTCACCTTGTAAAATACGAACCTGCGCCAAATGCAATATCCGTGGGGAGTTCTAGAGAAACATGGTCTCCCGAAGTGTGATTTTCAGCGCAGAACTCCGGTAGGTGGTATAGCCTCTGAACAGGTAGTTTCAACTATAAGGCAGCACGAGGCAAGGATTACGGGGCATTTCGGGACTAGACGGGGTTAAGAACACTGATACATAAGCCTCTGGTAGCCCGCACTCATGACGATCTCTCTTGCACACACACCATCCGTTTGCTCCTAGGACATGCGGAACAAAGGTTTGATCTGACAAAAGAAATCTTTAACCCTGGCCAGTCGGTTCTTGATGGCGATACCTACAAGCCGCCTCAAGGCCTGGCGGAGTAAGACACAGTCACTGCAGTGATGTTTAATGTTGAGAAAGATATAAACACAAGGGTCAACTCAGGGCAGATGATAGTAAAATGGATTGCATGGAGCTCTACTCCATAACCAAGATAGTATTCTTGTTCTATATCGATATTCAACACGGGTGAAGTCTTATCTTAAGATAGCCATGGCAAATGTCATCCACTTAAGAACAAGTGGGAGGATTCCACATAGCCTGCTTCATCATGTCCTTGAGTTTCTCACCGTCGATACGGTTCACATAGGTGATGTTGCGCACGCCCGGTGGCTTAAGCATGGTCTGGTAGACATGAATGTTTCCGTAATTAGGGCTCCCATAAGAGATATCGACGTCGATATAGGCTACAGATCAGTTAGTAACTTCGTCCTTTGTTGAACAATACGGAACCCAGACACTCCACTGACCAGTAGTGGTGTTAATAGCAAGAGACCGGTCAACCATGAGGGCGGCTGCAGTTTCATCCCAGAAAGGAAACTCAGTGCCATAGTGGTCATGGAAGAGTGTGGTATACTCATTCTTGACTGTGTAGACCTCATCGAGGTAGTCCTGCGTCGACTGTACCTGATTGGCCACGTTTCCAGCAATGACAATATCGGGGAACTCTGCATTGAGAGCAATTTTCGCAGCTTCCGGGTCGATCATCAGGTTGATCTGTAGTTGATGTTACTGGCTTCGTTCTTGGAATAGTAAGTCAGTGTACCTACATCGGAGTTTATGTCCGCCTGCAAATAATCACCCGTAACCTGATACATGTTCACATCCACGTATCCTCCCATGATGACCAGTTCTTTGGCCAGGGAGGCGAAATTGGGATCCATTCGCACTGCCAAGGCAATGTTGGTCAACGCTCCGCCAGAGTAGATGGAGACTTGATGCGGATATTTGTGGACCATCTCAACCATGAAATTGGCGGCAGACGTGGAGTGGTCGATCTTAGTCGTGGGGAATCCCTCAACAAAAGCGCCCTTGACGATCCGGTTCGGATCACCTGATGTTGGGTCATTACCGAGTGCTTCTGCCGTTGCATTCTCTGAAGCGAAAGCGCCCTCCCAGGGAAGTTTGCCGTGCACGCTTTCCCATGCCTGGAAGCGCTCTGGTGTATTGATCAGGGGATAGGTAGCGCCCGCATAGACTGGGATGCAGCTGAGGTTTCCGACCTCGAGGTTGGCTAGCGCATGATATGCGCATTGACGCTGCCACGAATTGGCCGTGTCTAGAAAAGTGTTAAAAGCAGTGGCCGGTACCGCATAAGAAAACATAAGGAGCTCACCGGAGACTAATCCCAGAACGTGGACGTCGTTCTTGAGCGCGATCAAGAATGGAAGAAAGCTAATCGCCCCCCAGTCGTTATCCAGGATAGCATATCTTTTTTCGGGTTGGCTACTGACGGGTGAACACAGGGCCAGAGAAAGAAAGAATAACGATGAAAGAGAGCGAATCGGCCACATCTTCGCAGAAGCCGCGTTTGAGTCTCAGGTACGAAGTTGCATCGTTTCTCCGCATGGCGGCTCGGTTTGCATTTATATGCTTGGTACTTGCGGTGGTGGGTTAGACTCAATCAACTAGACTACTCCTCACTGAAGTTCGGCCATTCTCCTGGCCATCACCTTATCGTGCACCATAGCGCCTATCGGTTTTTCATCACCACACGATAGTCTTTTGTTGGCTATGACCTTAACGGAAAGGAAAGGTGGGTATAGATAACGATCAGCGTCCACATTTCCCATGCGGGTAGGTGTTTGCGATTCAAGTTTTTCTCAAGTAATAAGCAGATGTCTTCTCCCAGAACTTGATGGCCAAATAGAGCCAATGTAGAGAGCATCATGGTGGTGTCCTATCGAAAGTTTAATTCCATAAAGAATATCCCACCCGTCTGGCCTTGAATTCGATCGTAGTAAGGCGTAATGGTATCATAGCATATGTCCCAGAGCGAGATTCGGAGGCGTGAGACTGGAAGAGATAAGACTGCCGATAACCATATTAAATTCGGCAGTTCCTTATCTTCATTGTAGGAATTACCGACAACGGTAAGTGCAATATCACGCTAAAAAAAAAAGGCTCGGAGTTATTATATAGTCATTGGTTCCACTGCTTCTTGTCCCGAGAACTGAAAGCTTAGCGAATATGGCAAGCTTGGAAAACATGAGGTCCAGATGCTCGTGTTTAATATAAAGATATCAAGAAACTTGAACGGTTTTATAGGGAACGGACATCACTATAATGTCGAACAGGCTTCATTCAGATCTGAGTGGTGTATGGAAAACACTGTCAATATAAAAACAGGGTTCGGGGGGACCTGCGATCAACAAGGCCTCCCCACCACCCATGGGAAATACTGGGTATCATTTTTAACTCGAGCAGGAGAAGCAAAGAAGGGCGTCGGTGAAGCCAAAAGAAAAGTAATGCAAAGGAAGGGGAAGAGAAGGAAACGCAGGTGAAAAGCGATGGCAGAGATTTTGAATTACCAACAGGGCAAAGGGCTGTAATGGCAAATGCAATAGAGAAGAGAAAAAAAAAAAAATAAACAAAAATCCGAAGAGTAAGATAGGGCGCCGTTACCAAAGACTCCACTGGACCTGCTAAAGAATCCATCAAAAGCAAAAGAAGGAAAAAGAGAAGGAAGAAGATCAGCTAAACAACCACAATGCTAGGGGAGATCACTCTCTGACATAACCCAAAATAAAGTAACCTTCGCTTTTCCCATGCAAAATGAAACTGGTAGTACCCAGTCGGCTGAAAATTTTCGCAGCAAAAGATGCAATGTAGAAAAGGTGACGAAAGAGTTGAACTAAAAACGACCGGAACAAGACTATAAAAAGCGTTCAATGGCGTAAAAGAGCGACATGGAATACATTTCATCCCTCCGCATCTTCTTCGGTCGAGTGACTCCTGGAAGAAGTCGGGGATGGCTTCTGACTCATATTAGCAGTTGAAGAAGAAGGGACATGAATATCGAGATTACGAACCGAGGGCGCTCCTGTGTTCAAGTTTCCATTTTCTTTCCCGCTGCTGTCGGTCTCCGTTTCAGTGCTTTCACAGCCTTTTGTTCGAGAATGCAAAGCCCGTAGCGTAAGCCCGAGTTCCCGCTCCAGCTCTTTTTGAGAGGGCAGATTATCCTTCGTCCCATTAAGTTTCTTTCTGTAAGCTCGCAGTGTACGGCAGACTTGTTCGGTAGACATGTTAAGACTGCCAAACTCAGTCTTTCCGCCGTACCTACTACGGGATCGGACGTCTAGTGGTGAGCGGTGATTGTTGTGGCTCAAGTGGCTGGTCTTTTTCGCGGGGGTTGACTTGGGACTGGGAGGTGATGGTGTCCTACGCGACCTCTCTAGACGCGAGCTGGAGCGTGCTGATGCTGGTGTCGGCGTCCGTGGTGTGGCGTCTACATTCTTGGCCGATGAGGGCGCAAGAGAAAGTTTTGACAGTTTGCGTATGAGCGGTGGAGATTGCTCGCGCATTGGTGTAGAGGCCCCTGTCCCATGTTCATGTCGAAATTCGGCAAGTTCATTCTTAGATAAGATCTTCCGTATAGGAGGTCTGGAAAGGGCCATCTCCTTTGGACCCTCGTCTTCCTCTTTTGACGTGGTTCTTGTGATATCTTGGGCTTGGAGGGGCTGCACCGAAATGTTCCACATCATGACAACACCGTCAATACCTGAGCTTATCAAGGTGCGTACGACGGTTCCGTTGGACGGACCAGGGCTCCTTTCCAGCAACTGCACGTCACTGACACCCTCGGTATGGCCGAATTCACCAGTGAGCAATACACCACGGTCCAAGTCATACACACGTATCGACTTATCAGTGCTGGCCACTCCTATTAATAGCTTGGGACTGTGTCCCAAGATTCCCCCAGCTACTGTCAATGCACCCATTACCACCGCATCATTTGAATCGGAATCGACAGCTCGGATAGAATTCAGATGGCGACCGGACGGTATCTCATATTGGTGTACACATCGGTCTGCGGTGGATATGACAAGGACGTCTGCGTCATCTGCGGACAAGGTCATAGACACCGGGGACGATTTTAATGTTATGACTTTGGAGATCATGTAAGCTATAGAAACACCGCCATCGGCCTCTCGGGTCACACGCTCCCTGATTAGCACTGTGCGATCAGCAGAGCATGAGAGAAGGTTTTCCCCATCGTTAATAAAAAGAACCTGTCCCACAGCGCCTACGTGGTCATCCATCGTTTGGACTAACTGTAGGCTGTCTTCTGTTATTTGAAAAAGCTGAACCATGCGGTCACGACCGCAAGTGGCAATGAGACAAGAGTCGGAAGCTGCGTTCAACGCAATATCAGTGACTTCGGCTCCATGAGCTCGAACTTGATCCATGCACTTCCAAGACTGTCCTTCTAGCACTCGTAACACACCGAATTTATCGCCAGAAACGAACAGATCCATCCCATTGCTGGTCCTCACTACCCTCAATTCATTTGAGGCTTCTTCATCTACACCCGGAACTTCCTCCAAAGGGATAACATGAGAAGCCCGGCACTTGCCATGAGTGTCCCAGAAGTTCACTGTGCCCCTACATGACCACGTGAAAAAGTCGGCCTCGAGGTCATTCGGTACTTTCAATGGGCCGATCCCAAGCACCGCATCTTGATGAGCAGGCATGGTAGTCTCCACATGGCCCTGTTCATCCTCCATGGCATCAAATGGGTAGATATGGATGGCTCTGGTCGTATCAACTGTAACCACGTGGGTTGTTAGGGATCCCATGCATGTGATAGCAGGCCCCCTACATTTCTGTTCATCGGAGGGAATTTCGGAAAGGCCGGGCGACAAGGGAGCAGAAGATGATTGTAGAACCTGAATTGGGAACCTCTGCATTCGCCTGCCTCGACCGCCAACCCATACACAGGAGCGATCCGAGTCCACCATTAAGGAGGTAATGCTGAAACCCACGTTCTCCACCAGAGTTATTTTCTGGGAGCCCTCTGCGTCACTGAGAAAACACAGTGCACCCGTATCCGTGCCTACCACTGCTTCATGATCAGAAACCATTGCCACGCTTGTAAACGTGCTCTCAGCTAAAGATCCCAGTAAACAGTTTCTTCCAGAAAGCGCTCGCGGAGCAAAACTAGGCGAACTAGGGGCGGATTCTATGTTGTGACGAGTCTTCGTAGGCGATGCTGGTCTAGCTTCTGGCAGTCTCCAGACTTTGACATGTCGAACTCCCACCCTATATATGATTTAGTCCACATATCATGTTATCGATTGTCTGGAAAGGCCTACGTGATCAAAGTTTGGCCCATGAAACACATGTCCCTTATCGAAGACGTGCATTTGTTGGTTAAATGGAGCTTTGCCGCTCCGCTTTTCAGACTGACCGACCAAACAAACAGAAAGCCGTCATTGGTGTCACCAAGCGTAGCCAGGTACTGGGAGTCACTGCTAAAAGCAAGCCCGCGGACCCCGAAGGTATGGTCAGTAAGAATGGATAGTGGAACATCGGAAGGGGCGTCTTTTGCAGTTGAGTAGATCAAGACTCTGGGGCCATATCCAGTCTAGAAGAAGATCAGCAAACCCTATACTGTTGATCGGGTTGGGGGTTTGCGCCACGCACCTCACCCACGGCAAGGAATCTCCCATTTGGGCTAATTGAGACGCTTGTGACTGCTTTTACTCTTTCTCGTGAAGACCAGGCACGGCTGCTGTTACTTTCTGCCAATTCATTCGCCGGGGAGCCATTGAGAATGGCGCTATGCGCTGTGGACTTGACGCCCGATAATGGCCTGGTGCGAGTGTCGGGTGTGCTTGGAGGGGTGGATTGATGGTAGAATGAACTGACGGGATGGACGCTCGAGGCGGAGGGGCGTGCTCGGAAGAAGCGTTGATTCACATTGCCCGCCTCGTCTAATTCAGCTAGGATGGCTGCTGAACCGGCGCAAAGGGCAAACGACTTGCTTTGATCGTGACTGGAAAATCCATGGGGAGAAGTTGTAGTCGTACCGATCACGGTCTGTAGGGATAAGGTCGCCTGGTGTTGTGGTGCCTTGTTTGGAGTCCGCGGGGGTCTTAAACCTGGAGAATTGGTGGGAGTGATTCGGAGGGACGAGCCTGCGCCAACTGCTTTGTTTTTCACATTCAATGAATTGTACGCCATGACCATTTCAGCTGAATCTGGTCACAATTATTCAAGAACTTTATGGAGAAAAGCTCGAGTCTCAAACGTATATCTCGACTAGAGTTTTGCTCGCACTTTCGGGTGACAGCTTTAACAAGCTATTTCGGTGCCATTCAGTGATTCGCAACCGGGAGAAGCTGAGGGGAAAAACAAATAGATAAGAATATGTCTTCTTGCTTTGCAGTGGCAAGCCTCTAGATTATAGTAATGATAGACTGAACTCGGCAGGAGAGGCGTTTTGTGGGTGACAGCATTAATGTGGGAGGGGTGAAGGAATGGCCGAGCTCGGGGAGCCCTGAGAGAAGCTCAGTCGATGTGGACCGGGTATAAAGGAGCGACCAATAGGTTGTGATGGGAAGGGAGAAAGAGTGAGGGAAAGAAAATATAAAAGAGAGAACTAGCAAAAGAATGAGAGAATGAAGGTAGAAAGTGAAGGTAACATGAATGGAAGGAGAGAGCACAACTGTGTCTGTCTGTCAGTAAACAAGATGTGTTTGCGGCATTCCAACGGGCGGAGAAAATCCCAAGGAAACCAACTTACGAGACGAATGACGAAGGAATAAATGAATAAATGAAAGATTGGCGAACCTCTCTCAGCCCTTAACCCTTGGCGCAGAGAGAGGATCTGACAGAGGGAAAGAGACAAACCTTTTAGCTCTCAAGCTAAGGGTATCTTAAGATCCATCAACTAAAAGGGAGATCATTTACTTGAACGAGAGCTTCCTTTTGTTCTTTATTTGGGAGTTGATAACCCTAAACTCCTTTGGGCGAGCGCCGCCGATTTTAAGTTTATTTGGAAAGAAGCAAATTAAATGAAGGGTCACCTCCATACATACGGGAAATCCTCCGGGAGGGAGGGGGAAATTGGCCAATTTTGAACCCAGGTCGGAAAATGAAAAACAAAAAAGAAATACCACAAAAGAGACGCAAAAAAAAAAAAAAAGGAGCATGTTTGACTGGGCACCAAGCGGTTGAACTCCCCTTGTGGGTCAGTCACAGAGCACCAAGTGGTCTAGTCTTCTAGTTAGTCTCATATCGGATGTGGAGATGCCAATCATTCTTCCTAAAATGGTAATCCAGCGAATCCTTAAACAAAGCCCCCGTTCGAATCTTCGAATATAAAAGGGGACAGAGAATCCTTTCCACCATAGGCCATGCCAACACCTCAGCGCGTCTCTGGGACAAGGACAGCCGGTGGATGGTGATAGGGGACAGAAGACGTAGCTATATGTGCACTGTAGTACAGCTGAACCGCAGCTGTATAAACACCTGGCAAGTGCTTGATAGTGTTGGGTTTTCGAGTATTGAATACTGGCGAGCTTAGAATAGGATCATTTCTCTCAGCTCACCTATAGCAAGGAACTATATCCACAGCGCCGAACTAGAGAAATATAGATTTCAGGGTATCACGGCAGAAAGTGATTGATGTTATGGATGAATTAAGGACTAGAGTCCTTGGTTAGACCTCCACAGAGCTCCATTTGTGAATCACATACATTGCCCTTGCGTTTATCAGAGGGCTTGGGCTTAGTTTTCTGTGACAGCATCATTGAGGGCTCCTTTTGTATTTACCTAAGTAACATATTCTTTCCCCAAAATCCAACGTCATTCTTATCGCTTTCCGATAAGGTCACGTGGTTACTGCTGTCGCCTGAGGTGGAAACTGTTCTGGATCTTTTCCAGATTCCTCTGCTATCGAATTTCTTCCCGTCAAAGATCGGCAACATTCTCACTTTGCTTCTCTATAGTTGTTTGAAGAGGCTTGGCCATGGCAGCCTTCTGTGCTAGCTCTGCTAGACTAGCTCTACCTACACTTCTCCGCAACGTTTATCGCTCCGAATTTGCCTCTGAGCTTCATTCCTCCCGTCTCATCTCTTTGCGCCGGGCGCCTCACTCCCATCAGCGTTGTAACAATGGCCGGGGTTTTGCTTCCCTCTCGAGGCTACTTGCCTCCCAACCAGGATCGCATGCGAATTCACAACCGCCTTCGCAGCCGGCCATTACAGAATCAAGTTCAGAACAACTAGATGCCGCTGAAGATGGCTCTGTTAGTGGAGCTTCTGAAAAGGATGCAGCAGTCCATCGTGATCGACGGGACCCAAACAAACCTGCAAGAAAGGCGAAGAAGACGAAGTTTTCCTCATCACAAGCAGAACCCGATGCAAACTCCAACAAATCCTCTCGCGATAAGAAACATGAGCGCAGTGACCGAACCTTCCCGGATTACAAACCCAAGAAGAAAAAGGAGAACTGGCAAATTCAGAAAGATGCCTTGAAGAAGAAATTCAAGGACGGATGGAACCCATCAAAAAAGCTTTCGCCCGACGCTCTTGAGGGTATTCGCCACTTACATGCCGTTGCTCCGGACAAGTTTACGACTCCTGTTCTTGCCGAGCAATTCCAGGTATCTCCAGAAGCTATTAGGCGTATTCTGAAAAGCAAATGGCGTCCTTCTGAAACGGAAATGGAGGATCGGCGCAAGCGATGGGAAAAGCGACATGATCGAATCTGGAGTCATCTATCGGAGCTGGGTCTCCGACCGAAAACAAAACGCACAGAGGCCTTAGATGATTCAAATATACTGTATGGTAAGGGTGAAGAAGGCAACAAACCATCGGAGTAATCTGTTGTTGTGTTTTAGAGAATCATGAAAGCATGGTGCATATTGGAGAGACATATATACTGCTAATAGTACATAAGAACACCCGAAATTACGTTGTTACTGCTTCTCTTTTATTATCTTCCCCCCTCCCTTTTCTTTCTTTTGTTTTTGTTCTTCTTCTTCTTCTTCCATTTTCTCCTTACCCCTTGGTCTTTTGAAATCGCCAGCATTGTGCAGAAACCCTGAGTTACAGAGTACTTAGTCCATAATTAATGTGTCCCCTTTTGTGGAGATTTGTTTTACCAAGTGGTTCTTCTGTATCACGTAAAACAAGCCCTATTTTTTTTATTCCATGCTACGGCTATGCAACAAAAGAAAAAAGTAAAAAGATAAAATAAGTGTCATCCGGAGCATTTCATAAACTCTTGTCTTATCAACCCCAACCGAGACGACTAAAAGAGATGGAAAAGTCTCCGGTGGACTAGAAACGACGCTAACTCTAAAGTGTCTTACCCTGGACGGTTACTCTCCGTTGATTTGGCCGACAAAAGTGCATGCAACGCGACTCTGGCCCGTTCATTCACGTTTTCTCTTTTCTCTCTTTTCTTTTTTCTTGTTTCGTCCTTCTTTCACTTATGATGGCTCATCCAATCTGACAGCATGCCATAGCCGGCTATTGTCAATTTGTTTTTCCCCATCTATCCTATTCATTTATCACCTCGGCGGCGTTAAACGGAGAAGAAGCGGACACCCTCTGGTGGCGGCTGTTGGTACCCACCGTTTACCCCAAGCTTCTTGCTTCCTGCTGCTTTTCTCCGCCCATATGGTCACCTTGCGACCCTCGCCATGCCGTCGGACATCCAAGTCTTTGTGAAATGGAAAGATCAGACAATATTCGCCGGTGAGGATGTGGAATGTACCATCACCTTTAAGAACGTTGCGGAGGGAAACGTGGAGAGCAACAATGGCAGGCAGCTCTCACCTCAAAGGAAATCGTCTCGGCCGGGCAGTAGCACGCCTCACTCAGACTCCTTCTTCTCCCTGAAATCGCCGAGGAATCTATTTTCCAACCCAAATCGCCGATCCTCGACGACGTTCTCCAGGAGAAGCCCATCCCATCGCGTTTCTTCATCCTTAAGTTCACCATTGGTCGGTTCCCATAGCTTTCCGCCTCCTTCGACACCTCGCAATGGCCCACCCCCCGGTCACAAGCACAAGCGATCCATTTCGATATTATCAATTGATAGCGAAGGAGGCGGGGATAGGACCCCGAAAACGTCTTCGCCCTTCACCCGCTCGAGGCCAGCCAGAGGTCATGGGCGTTCTGCGAGTTTGCAGGTGGTACCCAGGCGATTCGAAGGCTATGATGACATATTTCCCAAGGGTATGTCACTTGTTTTGGCAGTGGCGCTCGATATCTCGTAACTTGCACTGACAGTGACTGCAACCTAGGCGGGCGTCATACCACGCGGGGTGTCCCACCTCCTGAATCTTCCATGAACGCCTCTCCACAAAGTCTACGAGTTGATGTGGACGCGGCGGCCAGGGCTAGTCGCTCTAGGTCCGGTACGATGAGCCCGATTAAATCAGCCGAATCACCGCGAGGGCCTACGCGTCGACCTCAATTGCCTCCAATGGACTTCAAATTCCCACCTCCCGCGAGCGACACGAGCAATCCACGACCCGGTGCATCACCAACGATACCGGCCGGGGAGCATGGCAACGCAATAACGGTAGCAAAGTCGAATGGTAAAGAGGCCTCTGCCTTAGCTGCGCCAGGCCACTTGCCGCAGCTCACTAAGATTATGTCGACGTCGAGCTTGAGTGGCAGCCATAGAAGCAGCGGCGAATTCTACTCTGTGGGGAATAATTCCTCGGAAACTTTGCAGTCGGAATACACGAACTACTCTATGACAGTCCCACGAACACCTGTCTCTCGACACGGGCGACACATGTCCAGCGTTGACTCTGCGGCCTGGCTGCCCAACGGTCAGACGTTGCTCATGGGTTATGCCCAGATCAGTGCATCATTTACAGTGGATGGGTCACTAATCAACCAGTCGGCTTTTGAGGAAGTCAAAAGGAAAGGCGTAGTGGGTGACCAAGGGAATGCTGCCGGTATGTCCAACGGACGAAGCGCTCCAAGCAGCGACAAGAATCGTAAAGGTGGTGGTTTCTGGGGCGCTTTTAAATGGAACGCGATTGAGGAGTCCATCAGCGGTCTACTTTCCAACAATGAGCTTGATGGCCTACGCGATATGCGAGGTGTCACCTCATCACGATCGATACCGTTACTATCCACATCCCAGTCGCTTCTCTTCGTGGATCTCCGACTAGCACCCGGAGAAGAGCAATCCTACTCATTTTCCTTCACTTTGCCCCGTGGCCTCCCTGCTAGCCACAAGGGAAAGGCCATAAAAATTTCCTATAACCTCGTCATTGGCACACAACGACCAAGTGTCCGTAATGAACCCCAGCGTGTCAATCGCATTACTATACCATTTCGGGTATTTTCCGGTGTCGATGGTAAGTAGCTCCCCCTAGCTCATGATTTCCTCTCCATCGAGCGCAACTAATGTATCGTAGGTCAAGGGGATATCCTTGGCCATGACTTGATGAACCCCTATGTGCTTCTCCGAGATGAAGCTAGAGTACAGAAGGTTGGGCCGAGCCCGCCGCCATCTACCAAGACTAAGAGCATCAGCGGTACCGCGTGGAACTCAGCGCCTGAGTTCTTGGGCTATGTTGATGATATTCTCGAACAACGCTCCCAGGGCGCTCTTCTACAGCCCCCTGAGACACCTCTAGAAAAGCGCCCAAGCCTCGACCTGTCCTTGGGCCCACTGTCCTGCAAGGATGCTATTGATCTCGCGATTCTCCGAAGCAACCAGGCTCTTAACTCGTCGCGCAGCCCCAATCGATTTGAGATTGCACGCAATGGGCGTCGGATTGCCGTTGTGGTGCTCAATCGACCAGCCCATCGATTAGGAGAAACTATCATTGCTACGGTGAACTTTGCCGGTGCCGCGCTCCCCTGCTATGCGATTCGAGCCACGCTAGAGACGTCGGAGAAAGTGACCGGGCCATTAGCCGTGCGGTCGGGCGCAAGCATCCGACGTGCCACTCGAAAAGTACATGCTTCTTTCTTCGAAAACACCCTGTATTCCACGCGAGTCGTCTTTAGCCCTGCGATCCCCATCTCTGCCACTCCTACGATCCTAACCACTGGAGTCAACCATGAGTGGGAATTACGGTTTGAGTTTGTGACGCCAACCATGCACCCCGACTCTGGGGTCGGCCCGTCGGGCGCTACATTACTCGAAACCGTGCATGAAGACGACCGGGGACGGATTATGAATGCTTTAGAGAACATCGGGTGTGAGTCGTTTGAGATTGCGATCCCGCTCACGGTATATGGGGAGACGGTCCGAGAAAGACTCCCCGAGGAGAATGAAGGATACTCTATATAAATAATGTTGTGATGGGCATGGACATGCCCCAGCGGTCTCTACCTGTATGGGAGGAAGTACTGCCTACCTTCCTTAATGACTCTCATAGATATCCTCCCCATGCGTGGGGTAAATAAATGTATGTATGTTATTGGCAAGACATTGTTAACGAAGCGCAATCAAGATGGCTCGGTCTTTTTCTTTTTCTCTTTTTCTCTTTTTCTCTTTTTTCTCTTTTTTCTCTTTTTCTCTTTTTTCTCTTTTTTCTCTTTTTCTCTTTTTTCTCTTTTTCTCTTTTTTCTCTTTTTCTCTTTTTTCTCTTTTTCTCTTTTTTCTCTTTTTCTCTTTTTTCTCGTTTTTCTCGTTTTTTTATTCTCCCCTTACTGCCTCATTTAAATGCAATAATAACCATGTAAATGGACCATTACTCATTCCTAATAAATTGCAGCCATACATCCCTTGAATGTGGCTCCGTGAAAGGGCGGTGGATGTCACCGGGGCAACCCATGGATTGGCCATGACTGGTGCCTTTGGCATCCATGGAACACATGCACTTAGAGGTTCCGCTCTGGTTAAATCGTGGAGACTAAAAGGGAGCCGTGATCGATGACGGAATTGAGCTTGTGTTGATCGGAGAGCTTTCGATTGCCCACCGCTTCTTGATTTTCTTAGCCTGGAGAGCCCTCAGCCGCACCGTCACCTGATTGATTTATCGCAGTTCCTGAGCATTTTCCGTGAAAAGTGAGATTTGTCCCTCTGTCATCTCTCACTCGCTTTCCCGACGACCAGCTAACCCCTGCCTGTCTGGTTCTGGAATGTAGGCGCATTCCCGATCACTCACGCCGCACACTTCAACACTTCAGCCCACCGCAACAAAGTCAAATCAGTACAGCTCCGAGTGCTTGGAGGTCGGATAGCGGGGCATTTTTTTTGCGCGCTTGATCTGGAGGATTCATACAAGAGAAAAGGAGGACCGGGAGGAGAAAGAAGAATGGCTTCATTCATCACCACCATGTCGGTTCCCATCACCCCTGTTCTTGTTGCTTCTACCACCACTCGTGCTACTCCCTTTGCCCCGCCATCGTTTTCAGCATCATCTCACCCGTTGCCCCGCCCACTGAGTCCCTCGATCCATTACAACGATGCCCCCCTCACACAACCCCCTTCTTACCTGTCGCCGATTGTGTGCGCGCTCACAGATGAAACATGTGGACTAACCCCTCCCAGTAATGCGCGGACACGCGCGCCGTTTAAGCCACGGTCCGCGGCCAAAGGCACGAGCAGCTACCAGTTGAGACAGTTCGCAGAGGCGACGTTGGGGAGTGGGAGTCTCAGAAAGGCCGTGATGCTACCCGAGGGGGAGGACTTGAATGAGTGGCTAGCAGTTAATGGTGAGCTCTCGGACTCGTCGCCAGTGCGATCGGGTGCTTGTCGCACGCCGCTAATACACCATCCTCGGCAGTGGTGGATTTCTACAATCAGATCAATCTTCTCTATGGTTCTATTACAGAGTTTTGTTCGCCTCAGTCATGCCCGGAGATGAAAGCCACAGATGAGTGCGTAACCTGCCCGGGGATTGTCTGGATTACGACTGACATGGGAGATAGATTCGAGTACCTTTGGCAAGACTCGGAGCACTTTAAGCGGCCGACCAAGATGTCTGCTCCAGAGTACATCGAACACTTGATGAGCTGGGTGCAGAGTAATATTGATAATGAACAAATGTTTCCCAGCCGACTGGGTATGTCCATAGCCATAGTTTCTGTGAGACTTCGCTAATGCAAACTAGGCGTTCCGTTCCCCAAAGCCTTTACCAGCCTCATCCGTCAGATCTTCAAGCGGTTATACCGGGTATACGCACACATCTACTGCCACCATTACCCTGTCATCGTGCACCTGGGACTCGAACCGCATCTGAATACAAGCTTCAAACACTACGTGTTGTTTATCGACGAACATCGGCTGGCGAGCGGGAAAGACTTCTGGGGTCCGCTGGGGGATCTGGTTGAGAGCATGCTGCGGAGTGATTAACGGAGTTGTTCGGTTGACTTGGCAAATTGAGGATCTAGATTGGGCATGACGGTGATAGTCGGCTTCCAATCAACCAATGCACTGAATGACGGCGTTTGGTGGGGGTTAGTTTTTTTTTTTTTTTTTTTTTAGCATTCTGTCATGGTTTTAATAGAAAGATGGTTCCCACAATCACATTGAGCGGCGTTGTGTTGTTAAGTGTGTTGAGTGTGTTCGGAATGAGGATCTTATCTCTAGTCGAAGTGTTTTGTAGTGTAGCCGAAAAACCCGGCGTGTGCGGATACTCACGTGACCGGCGAGAATTGTTGGACGGAACATCAACTCAACTCCATCTCAGCACGACCACCGGCCATTTGCTCCCCTCTCCGACCGACGTTCGCACCGTCTCGCATCCACTACCCTCCCTCCTCCACTCCCTCGAGGTTCTTTCTAGATATCTGCCACAATGATGCCCACTCGGTTCGCCCGCGCCGGCCTCCGTGCCACCCAGCAGTTCTCCGTTCCTCGCACTGCCGCTGTCAACGGTCTGAGGACCTACGCTACCCCGGCCCAGGAGGTCAAGCCTCCTGTGTCTCTGTACGGTGTTGACGGTACCTATGCTACTGCTCTGGTATGTGCCTTACCGATCGAGTGGGATGGGTTGGGTGGGATTGGGTTCTGTTGTGGTTTCCATTGACCCGAGGCGTTGAAAATCCCCTCAAAACCGCGTCCGAGCCATGGAGACTGCACCTCAATCCGACAGCAGCGAACCCTCCCCAAACATCACATTTCAAGCTCGAATGTCCGTCACTAACTAAATGACAACAAACAGTTCACTGCCTCCGCCAAGTCCGCCAACCTTGACCAGACCTTCAAGGCCCTCTCCGTTCTCGGCGAGACCCTCAAGGCCGACCGCAAGTTGACCGGTCTCATCTCCGCTCCCACCCTGACTGCTTCCGACAAGTCCCAGATCGTCCAGGAGCTCCAGAAGCTTACCGGCGACAAGGGTGACATTGTCAAGAACTTCCTCGAGACCCTCGCTGAGAACAACCGTCTGGGTCTGTTGGAGGGTGTCTGCGAGAAGTTTGCGACTCTGATGGGTGCTCACCGTGGTGAGATCGACCTCAACATCACCAGCGCTCAGGTATGTCCCTCCATACTATGCATTTTTTTTTCTGCTTCCATCTGTGTGGAAATGATATCATTTCGACCCGGTCCTGACGAGAATCCCAGGAGCTTGACAAGAAGAGCATCAACCGTATCGAGAAGGCCGTCTCTGGATCCCAGATCAGCCAGGGCAAGAAGCTCAAGGTTGTCACCAAGGTATTTCACTTTCGTCCCCGCATTATGCTAGACCACTTTTCAGTACTAACGGAACCAGGTCAACCCTGACCTCGTTGGTGGACTTGTTGTCGAGATCGGTGACCGCACCATCGACCTCAGCGTCTCCTCCAAGATCGCCAAGCTCAACAAGGCCCTCACCGATGCCCTGTAAATTAGATATACCTCTGATTCCGACCCCATGTACCGTACTACTACCATGACCAGTAGTGATTATTATTTCCTTTTCTTTTTGGACCTGAGGCATTTCGCATGACTCGATCTGAGTGATAGACAGAATTGAGTTATTCCCTCCATCCTTTGCCAATGTATCGAGAGTAGCATTTGCCCATACCATGACATGACATGCACATATCTTATTGATCTGTTTTCCGTAGCCTGTATAGTGTAGCCTCTATATACAGTACCCAAATCAAGGCCTCTTTGTAAAGCAAAACACCTTCAGCATTCCGATCAAAGCAAGTTAATCAACCTATACAGTCTATACATAACACCCACCTACTACTAGTAGTACTATCCCAAACAGAACCCATCATCCAGCCAATCAATACAACGGAATGGCACAGCAGGAACCAACGCACCGTAAATACACGATGACTATCTATCTACTCCAAGTTAGCCCAACCGACACCAAGCTCAGTACAATCACTTCCTACCCAGGAACTATAAACGACACCTCAACTACTAGTAAAACACAATGCCATCTCTACTAATCCGTCCACAAGAACAAGATCTGAATCTGTGCATAGAATATACATGCATTTCCCTCTTGCGCAGGGGTCAACATACTAATCTGGACCCCTATATTGGTATAAATAAACCAATGTGTGTGTGTGAGTGAGAGAGAGAGAGAGAGAGCTTAGGCAGGGAACTTCAGTTATTATCCATTCGTTATTGAGAGATGGTCTTGGGTTTTGGGTTTTGGAGTTCTTATTTCTGGGTTTCTTTTCTCGCCTTGACTCTCTCTGTCTGTCTGTCTGATTGCTGGGGCTTGGTTTGCAGGGATGCTCGGGTAGTGGTGGAGTTATGCTGTGGGTTGTATAATATCAGAGAAGTGTAGAATTTGTGCATGAGTCCGAGGTGTTTTGTTGAGTTTCTTTTCAGAATTTTTTTTATTTTTATTTATTTATTTATTTTGGAAGTAATAAAATCAAACAAAATAAATCCAGGTGCTGAGGTGTTTTTGTCGATTGGTTACTTGGCATGTACCGTGGTATATATATCTCCATGCACAGTGTACCGTCTTCCATGATGTGCTATTTCACATAGATAGTAATTTAGCACAACCACAAATCCAAATCCAAATGTTCACAAATAAATTTCTGCATATGGCTGTCAATGTACTTACTGCTAACTAAAGTCAATGCTTTCTATAGCTATAACCATGGTTCTACTGCGTATTAACCCATGTAAGTAATTACCCGTCAACAATCTCTCAGCCTATATCTCCCCCATACCCTGCCTAGATACCAATCAATGTCCATTCGGCTTCCGATCAGCTTGCGTCTCAAACTCATCCTCATATGCGCCCATCGACACCTGGCTTCTCACCCGCTCCAGCTGACTCTCGACATAATGTGACACATGGTCGCCTACACCGGGGTCTTTTTCTTCATCGTCGACGACACTTTCTGCAGCGGTCGTGTCGCCAAAGGCCGATTCGAAGTCGCTTCGGTTCCCGATGGAGCGGCTCGTGGACGATCGACGGATGCTGGGTCGACGGCTGCCGCGTGCTCGGGAGCGGCTGAAGATATCATCAAAGTAGTGTGATGCCGCCGCGAACGGGGAGCGCGGGGTGTGCGGAATGCGGCAATTGATTCTGTACCAACAGTTTAGATTATATTGACAGTGAAGCATGCTGAATTGGTGCACTTACCCAGTGTCGTGGATGATCTTGGCAATCAAGCCAGTCCAGCCGCATTGGTGAGATGCTCCAAGGCCCCGTCCGGTATCACCGTCAAAGAATTCGTGGAACCACATGTAATCTTTCCAGTGCTCGTCGAAGTCGAGAAGGTCGGAGTTGTCGTGTACCGCGCGACGGCCTTCATCGTTACGGGCAAACAAATGCTGCAACCGATGTTGAATTTCCTCGGCAACCTGCCCAAGATGCATATATTCTCCGGACCCTGTGGGACACTCAACCTGGAATTTATCACCGTAGAACATGTAGAAGCGCAGCAACGACTCGACCAGCAGGAAATTGACGCACAGCCAGACCGGCCCGCGCCAGTTGCTATTTCCTCCGAAGAGAGCACTGTCTGAGTCACCAGGAACATAATTGACACGGAACTCCTGACCATTGACCGTCATAGAATAAGGATGCTCGCCATGGTATTTAGACATGGATCGGATACCATGCTCCGACAAAAACTCAGTTTCGTCGAGCATCCTTTTCAAGATCTTTTCCAGGCGGTCTCTGCTGACCAGTGCCAAAAGGAGACGCTCGCCTTTCCCACGACGCTTCATGCTGGCGATGTTGCGCTCGGCAACGTCCTGTCGATTCTCAATGAACCACTCCAATCGGCGCTTGAAGGAAGGGAATTGATTGATCAATTCGGGCTCGAGTGTGAGAACGCCATATAACGGAATCAGGCCAACAAGGGACCTCACGGGGAGCTGTTGAGTCCATGGTTCGCCGTAAGAAATAGCATCGTAGTAAAACCTAAATCACATCAGATCATCATCGGGTTTGGTCTCAAGGGTAGCTCTTACCCATCCTCTTCGTTCCACAAAGAGGTCTCCTCGCCTCCCGATCTGAATGTCATAGCATCACTAATTAGGATGAAATGCTCGAAGAACTTGGACGCAACTGGGACTGTTAGTCGACCTCTTCATGCTACAAGTGCCAAGTTTTCAACGTACTGTCCTCATAGATCCGTCGATGTTTCGCTAATTCCAAGGCAATGTTGAGCATGCATAAGCAATAGAATGCCATCCAGCCAGTGCTATCTGCTTGCTCCAAAACACCTCCAGTGGGCAAAGGCTCGGACCGATTGAATAGCCCAATGTTATCCAAGCCGAGGAAGCCTCCCTCGAAGACATTCTTTCCCTCCGAGTCTTTACGGTTAACCCACCATGTGAAGTTGAGGAGCAACTTTTGGAAGACCCGTTCGAGAAAGTCTAGGTCTTGCCGACCATACATCTTCCGCTCGATCTTGAAGACCCGGAACGTGGCCCATGCGTGGACGGGTGGGTTTACATCGCCAAAGTTCCATTCATACGCAGCAAGCTGTCCATTGGGATGCATATACCATTCCCGAGTGAGAAGATCCAGTTGCTTTTTGGCAAAATCGGGATCGATCATCGCTAGAGGTATGCAATGAAAAGCAGTATCCCACGCCGCGAAAAACGGATACTCCCAGGAGTCGGGCATCGAGAGGATGTCGTCCATGTACAAGTGTTTCCACTGCTGGTTTCGAACATGCTTCCTACCAGGGGGAGGCGGGATCATCGCGGGATCACCATTTGCCCATTGATCCCAGACAAAATGATAGTACTGCTTGGTCCACATCATGCCCGCAAATGCCTGTCGCTGAATGTTTCGTAGATCGTCGCTCATGGGCAGGGGGCTGATGTGGTAGTAGAAGTCATCGGCCTCTGCTATACGCTGTTCGATCGTGTCGTCCAGTTCCTCTTCGTCAATGAAGGTCTGGAGCTTTCGGGACAGCCTGAAACGGACAACAGCACACTCGCCTGGGGGGATTCCCTCACCCTCATTAAAAGCATACCAGGCAGCAAGCTTGGTGCCCTTGTTCTCAGGGTTAATCGCGTCCTTTTCGTCGTTGACGATGTAGCGATGGAATGCATCCTTCACGTACGGCTGATCGTTTTCAGACTTCCAGAGCAGCTCGTAGTTCGTCTCATTTTCCGTAAACAGCATCTTTGGCAGGATATCCTCCTGGTTGCTGCCCGCTGCTGGCGAGGGGGAGAATCGTACATATCTTTGGCCGAGCTTCTTGTGGTAGGACTTGGCTGTCAGCGGGGCGACCTTTTCGATGGAAGGCTTATGAGACTGATCCTCGTAGCCCCAGGCCCAGGTGTTCCGGAACCACACATGGGGAATGATGTGCAAAGGAGCCGGCTCCGGGCCTCGATTGTAGGCAATAACGCGAAACAGGAGCTCCTCTTCGTCATCGTCTTCCTTGGCCGTCTCAATGAAAATATCCCAGTACCGATTGTCGTCGAACGCGCCGGTGTCGAGGATCTGATATTCGCGGTCCAATCTCGAGCGGCGCGCATTCTCGTCTCTGAGATCCTCGTAGGGAAACTTCTTCTGAGGGTACTTGTAGAGGTATTTCATGTAGGAATGCTGGAATGGAGCGGTCAGAAAGGGCAATATGAACAGCCTTCGTCTTGGATCGATTTACCGTCGGCGTGTTATCAAGGTGGAAATGAGCTTCTTTGATGCTCTCTCCATGGTTTCCTTGAGGGTTTGACAAGCCAAATAGACGCTCCTTCAGAAAATCACTATGACACAATGAGATCGTGGTCGGAATGTAGGACGAAAGGGGGGCATACTCCTTTTCGTTCCAGAAAGCAAAGGCAACGTTCTGCAGCGTATGAGTGTCGGAGACACCGGCGATGCCATCTTCGCCCCAGCGATATGTTCGCGACCGAGCGTGCTCATGGGAGAAGTCTATGGCGCGGATTTGGGGTTAACAGACGAAAGAGAATGGCGAAGCAAAGAGAACTTACAGCTCCACGCATCGCCATTTTCACTTTGCAACCGCGTCAATTCGTTTCGTTCATCAATTCTGGTTGGGGACGACTTACGAATAATCCTCTCGAACTGCGGGGATCCCGAGAATGAGGTCATTAGTTTTTTGCGGCCCCTCATCGGAAATCACAGCAAACACGCAACGAACGCGCGACCAAGAAATAAGAACGAAATCAAACCAAGTCCAGGAGGAGGAACACACCTGTTGCCCATTGCCTTTCGGCCACGTATGGACCCCATTTTTTCCAGTAGCGAATGCGATCACGATCTTCCTTTAATCGCTCCTCCTCCCGCGAGGTGTGGACGTGCTTGTCGATCAGGACCATTCTAGTCGGGCGGGGATCGACCGAGGACGAGAGAAGAGTGGAGAAGTGAAATGAAGTGAGCCGAAGGAAGAATCAAGGCAATGAACGGGGAGTTAGGGGTGATCAAAAAAGAAAGCGAAAGACGCTGGAGGGGAAGGGGAGGGAAGAGAAAGAAAAGAAGGGGAGCGAAAGATAAAGGACGGCAGTTCCTGAACCCTGTTCGCAGAGCTGCAGTACAACTCACCAGCGATCCGATCGCTGGCTTATCAGAAGACCAGAAAGAAACCGGAAACATGATTTCTTGACTTGGCCTCCACGGTCTGGACTCGTCGCTCGGACGTTCCATCAACATTGAGGGTGGATACTAAACTCGCTCCCGTCAACCGTTCGAATTATGCTGACCTGGTGGCACCTGACTTGACATCATCGCAGATATCTTTCTAACGACCGGTAAATAATTAACCTACACATGTAGACGGAACCTCACCGAGGACCGGAGAATGGCTCGATTGACTTCCTTCACATTACGCCTCGACTAGGGCCTCAAAAATGAGCGCAGAACAAACATGCTCACTCAATCAAGTCCCGATCAAAGCCCTAATGAAGTTCGGAACGTCCTCGCCATACGCCTCTCCGCTAGTCTGAGTGCCAGGAAATGTCGGGTTTTGGCGTTGTTTCAACTGCTTCATATAAGCAAAAATAGAAACCAAGATATAGGGACGAAGATGCCTAACCTTTTGGAGCCGAAAAAGGCAGTCCGCCAGCGCTCTCTTCTCGTCCATCCAGCGTTTTCAACCATCGACGAATTCAAGTAGAAGACCATCAACAGGATCTGCCCGATTATCTGGTAACCGGTGAAACCCCTTCCATATCCGTTTACCTGCTCGTTTGATTCATATTTTCATGATGGGCTGGACGGGTAATAGTCCTCCATGTTCTTGCTTTTCGTAGTGAGCCAGCCATGCCAGATAACTTTCTCTCTAATGTAATCATAGACCCGGCATTCGACGATGAAATGGTCCAGCGATAGTGCGGTATTCTCGAATCGTGGCCAAAGGGGTTCACCAATGACGACCTGGTTGAGACGGTGGGTAAGTGACAAGTCTCGCGAAAGAATAGGCTGAAAAAATATTACCAACTCCATAGCATCTCTATTGCCCCGAATTTGCACGTTGAATATATAGCCATGAGTCGAGCGCGACAGGGCTTTCAGGAACTCCGGCTCAGAGGCAAGGTCTCTTCTGTCTCATCCATCCTTTGCAACACGTATCTTTTCGAGATGGTGCAGACATCTTTGCTAATAGGGAATGCAGGTAGTCAAGAAGTTGTGAGCGTCCAAAGGTGTATATAAAAAGGAATGCTGGGAGAGGACCGCTAGATATTGTCACCACTGCATAAACTCTTGCGCATATATTACGCGCATATGAACAGGTTCCATAGAACTAACAGTTTTTACCATGATATATCTCCATAACTACTAATATAATATCACAGATCTCTAAATACAAAAAAGTTTTATTTTTAGTTGGTGGCACCTGATCTCATCATAGGGTTGACGAACCCTATTCCTGACAACACTTCTGGCCTTTTATTACAGCTATAGAATATAGAAGGATAGGGAAGAAGTACTATACTATGATACAACTAACAGCTCAATATTGAAAAGAACTTAGATGTGTAGACTAGTATCTATACTTTTTCTCTATCTGAGATCTCTAAGGACTCCGCAGATGAGATAGAAGATATTTATAGAGATGTGACAGACCATTCTAACAAATCGAGAAGTCGATGAGGATGAGCCTGAGGAAACCCTCAGGGTAATATGGGGGATTCGTATCTCTCCCCTTGTTCTTTTTTCTTTTTTATCTACGTATTTTCTTCTTTTGCCACTGACTAGAGCATCGTTACAGCGATCTTCTGGTAGATCCACTGCTGACCGTGGGACCCGAACACGAACTGCCCGAACCGGTAAAGTGTACGCAAGTGGGCCATTCGTCCATAGTCCATCCTCCGTAGTAAGTCCTGAAAATCCCCGTTAGTTGCAAGATGGATAGACTGTCTGCAGGGAAGTTCGCATTCGTATCAGATTCTATGCAGCTATTTAAAGAAGAACAGTGCTGCTGTTGTTTATCAGAGTACTCACCACACCCTCGACTGTCCCACGCGGAGCGAGCCCTCTACTCAAGATGAATATCACATCTTGCTCGCCTGCAGCAATCCAAACTCCCACCGTCTTCGGGGCAGAGATTCTCTCCCTGTCAGCCTCGTGGGTCACCAACTACACCCTGAACGTCCCGGCTACTTTCAACTACAACCATGGCAACGTCGATGTGCACGATGCGCAGTTCTGCAACATCACCGTCACCTACACGCACCCGGGATACAACGACCAGATCACAGTCGAGACCTGGCTTCCGCCGCAGACCAAATGGAACGGCCGACTCCAAGCCACAGGCGGTGGCGGCTGGAATGCCGGACGCTTCGTGCTGTCCCAGTTCTTCATGAGCGGTGCAATCGGCGAGGGCTATGCGGCGACCACCACCGATGCTGGCTTAGGAGAGGCCGGGCCCAGCTCGTGGGCGCTCAAAAGCCCCGGCAACGTCGACTATGCTGCGCTCAACAACCTAGGCTCCCGGTCCTTGAATGATCAAGCTATTATCGGCAAGAGCCTAATCCATACCTTCTACGGCCGCGCACCCGACTACTCCTACTGGAGCGGTTGTTCGCAGGGTGGTCGACAGGGTCTCATGTTGGCACAGCGCTACCCTACCGCGTACGACGGCATCGCCGCTTCGGCCCCGGCCCAATCATGGACCAAATTTGTGTCCGCCCTGTATTACCCCCTGTTGATGCGTCAGTGGCACGGAGTCGACCCGCTGGCCTGCGAGTTGAATTTCCTGACGACCGAGGCTGTCGCGGCCTGCGACGCGAAGGACGGGGTTGTGGACGGGCTGATCTCGAACCTCACGGCGTGCGACTACAGCCCGTACACCTCTGTCAACAAGACCTTTGCCTGTAACGCCCTGAACAGAACGATCGCGCTCAGTCCCGGTGCCGCGCTCATCGCCGACGCCGCCTGGTCAGGACCACAGACCACGGACGGCGAGCGGCTATGGTACGGGGTGAACCCGGGGGCCGACATCAGCCAGTTCGGGTCGGTGCCTGGCGTCAATGCCTCACAGTCCGACATGTGGTTCAACCTGTTCGTGGCCAAGAATGCCAGGTTTGACACCGTGCACATGAGTCCCGAGCTGTACGAAGAGTTCTTCCACCTCGGCACCCAGGAATATGCCAGCACCATGAACGCGGCCGACCCAGACCTGACTGCCTTCCGCAAGGCGGGCGGAAAGCTCCTCACTTACCATGGCATGGTTCGTCCTCCCCTGCCCTCCTTCTAGCCCTATAAGCTGCCCCAATTCGTCCAATTTGAACTAAACCCAACCCACAGGCCGACGAGAGCATCCCCACCAAGGGCACCGAATTCTACTACAAGTCCGTCCAACAGCAATTCCCGGATGTCCAGGACTTCTATCGCTACTTCGAGTCGCCGGGGCTCGGGCATTGCTCGGGCGGACAAGGCGGCCAGCCGACTACGATTTTCGATGCGTTGAGAGGGTGGGTCGAGAACGGCACTGCCCCGGAAACCCTCCCCGTCGAATATGCCAGGTCCCAGGGTGGTCCGCTGCATCGGATCGTGTGTCCTTATCCCGCCCAGGCCAAGTATATAGGCGGGGACATCTCGGCCGCTGAGAGCTTCCGTTGTGTTTAAAGTGCTGTTCCTTGTTACTGTACAGGGACCAGAGTAGTATGCAACGGCTATGCCATGATCGGTTCTGGACAAGAGGATATAACTTCAATAAATACAAGATCACCATTATCGCTTCCTATCTCATTGAAACTATCCGACCCTATAACGTTGTAAAACACTAGAATCTAGACATACAATATACTATCCAGGATCGCCATGACCCAGATACTCCCCTGGTTGGGGACTCAAGTCTCAATCAATTGCGTGGCGGATGCAATTGCTGCATTGCGGCTTTCTCTCGTCGCACTGAGACAGCACACTCTCACTGCTATTGTCTTGGACACAAGAAAGATCGCAAAGTGACTGACTAACCTTGACCCGGCGCCGCTTACAGTTCTGACAACCAAGACGAGACTTGCAGTGGCTTTTTGCGCGCCAGCTTAAAGGTGTATGGTGTTATAGGGGGTCCCATCGTGGACTGCATCTGATCCGATCCTATCCTATCCTCGTCTCCGGGCAGAAATGACTGAATCCGAACACTCTCATGTGTGCAGGATAACACAACCGATCAGACAACTATTTTCAGGGCCCCGGAAAGGTTAAGGTCAAATTCCATATGTGGAGACTTTTTTCGTCTTAGACTCTGAGTCCCAATGTATGGTTGACCGTTCGGGCGCTTTAGTTTCATGAAAATCTTCTGGCAAAAGTTTCATTCGCATTCGTACTTCGTGGGCCATGGAGTATGGCGACTACTGTGTATTCACCCCCTACCACACTGATTATTGCCACGAGATAGAAGAGCAAGGGGATGGATGAGTATATAGATTTGATTGGTGATATCTAACACCAAGCTCTCTTTGCTATACAGGGTGGGGCGATGCGCCTTTCAAGGACAGGCCCGTCTACAACCTTGAAGGCCGAGATCTTTGATAGTCGTCTAGGTAATTTAGGTCAGTTAGGCTATACTTCAGAGTAGACTGGATTCGGCCATAGTTGGTCAAGCTATTGTTACCCATTCGCCAATCTGCCTTGGGTTACTGGCTTGTACATGGAGTATACTATGTCGATGGCCATCTCCTAGACTCCTACGGGGTTTGTTGATTGATCTATCTCAAGGGGACTATATAACAAAGAGACGCGCAGGCGCTAAATCAAAATCGAACGCTATCTATACATCTACTTTTTCAGATTATTTCTTCTGTACCATGACCCACATAAACTCGGCATCAAAGTCCGGATCGCCCTCCTCCAACGTCCCATCGCCCGCGTGCAATACCTCCACCTGCAATACATCAAACCCGATTTCCACTAGCATTGCCCGATTCTCGTCGACCCCATAGCTGCTCCAGAACATCCCATATCCCAGGAATTCGCCATGGATTTCTTCTTCGTCGAGAGTCGCCAGATTCAACACAAAGACCCCCCCGGGCTTCAGCCAGCCATGGATCTTGGTGAGCATGGCCTTGAGCTGCACCCGCGGGAGGTGGAACAGCGTATAGAAGCTGGTTACCCCATGGAAGCGGGCAGGCTCGAACGTGAGGGCCGTCATGTTACCCGCGATCAGCTGCGCCCCTGGACAACGGGCCTTGGCCATCTCGATCTGCTTGGCTGAGATGTCATTGGCGACGACCTGCGCGCCGTGGTCCAGAAGCATCTTCATAATGGGAACCCCGGGCCCACAGCCAAGCTCTAGAATGGAGGGTGACGGCTCTGGTAGCTTGTCTAGGAGCATCTGGGTGTATCTTTCTCGCGGCGACTTCTGGCTCTTGACCCACTGCAGATACCATTCTGTGATGTTGTCGTAGGCGTATTCAACAATACCTTCCGGCGTGTCAGACATCTTGCCGGGGGAGCAGGGGTAGAGATGGACAGGAGGAGGCGGCGGAAGTGGATAGATCGTGGTAGGGGACAGTGGAGATGTGTGGAGATTGTTCGTTCACTACGGAGTCTGGCTATCTAGTACGAGACTAGGCCTAAACAGGAAACCCTCATCAACAGGGACCCCATTTGCATATCAGAATTCTGCTCCTCATCAGGAACCGCTGAGATATCAGTGTCAGAGGAGGCCTACATCGGTATATGCATCGGTCAAGTACTAGTCACTTCTGGTTTTTGATCCGATCGGGAAGAGTCTGGCCCAATGCATTGTCAGTGAAAAGTCATCTTCAGTCCCATTGTCTGGTTGTAACATGATACCATCACGGCTCACTTTCTAGTTGCAACATTCCCCGGTTGGCCACTCTGGATCCACTGGTGCATGACTAAATGCCATAGGTCCCTGGTCCCTGGTAAGGGGGTATGGGTTTCACAGCGATAGCGTAGGATTTAGACAACCGCCAATTCGAAGTACGTACTTCTCCAGATTGATCCCAGGGCCGTCTTCATATAATAATACCTCTGTATCTTTATCCTAATAACCTTTCTGGGTGGCAGCCGTTCACGACCATGAGTGGATGGAGATTGGACCGAGTTCTAGGCAGAAAAATACTCCGGATCTATCAAGATCGTCTATACAGATGTATCAAAATTTTGAGGTCGAACCCGCCTGTGCGGGGAATAGCCCTAGCTGCATTCATGGTAGACTGGATCGTCGTTTTGTCAGTTATGTTATATAACTAATATTTTCTCCCAAGGACGATATAAGTTATAACATCTGGCAGGCGAGCTTTCAAGGCATTGTTCTATCTGAATCTCTTCCAAAAAGATCCAGTCTGGTACGGTATATCTACCGGGACTTGCGAAAACAGATTCCCGTTCTTTTCCGGGGCCCACCAACGGTCCAGGCTTGAAAAGGTGCTTCTATATAGCTTATCAACCTTAAAAATAACCGGAGTGGGGCGCTGAGAAAGATGGACTGGTAATGTTTCACCCTTATTTACATGATCTTCTTGTTGCCTACGTTCTTGGATCGCTCTCAGTCACACTCAGATGGTGCGAGTCTCGCAGATCATCACATTGACCGTTCTTATTCATTTCGGCCCTGAAAAGACTGTAGTTATTTGCTGGAACGCACGTCCACATGCATACCATAGTATGCACACAGATAACGGCCTGCCATTCTCGAAAAAGCCCGGATGCAAATGTGGTTGCCTGCCGCGTATCGATTGGTGCCTGGACGCGGGTTGATAGTGATCCTATACCACACCACAGTGCAGATCTGTGGAAGGCCCGACAAAGAAGGCTGCAGCCAAATGAAACTTTGGCGTATCAAGACGATTGGCTATCATGTACACTATCTTGGGAATGTTCACATATGGGCTCTGCTGGAACGTTGGGAAGGCTCACCGGGTATTGCGAAGAATTCCCAAGTCGGGGTTAGGTACTTTAGTTGACTTTACATCGAGTGGAGCAATGGATGCCACACTACTCCGTACATTTCCTTGATTTACGGATGGGAGATGTATGTTCTGTATCTTGTCTTCATATCAACCGGGAACTCCACTGTGAGTTTGTACGCTGTGCTCGTATCGTTCCTATCAGCATTGGATGTAGAGGATGAACGATGCTCCAGCGTTCATGAACCCTAATAGGGTGTGGCGTTCGCTCTCAAGTGGGAAGCTTGAAGCGATGGCAGATGGGTACTAGTACCACTAGTAGTTGAATAGCAATCCTAGCAGCGAATAAGATCTATGGTAGGACCAAAAAAACCAATCTTGGATGCAAGGGTTGCGCACGAAATCCCCCATCGATGGCCGAGGTCGACGGTTGTTAAGACAGCCGAAATGCCAAACGACTACACCAAACGACTACACCAAATACAAGGAAAGGTGGTATAACTCCTCTCGAGGCGGTAAATTACCGCCCCATCCATGATGTCTGGAGTCTTGACCGATAGAACCGACCAATTGAGTCAATTTGCGCCGCCAAGATATCAAACATGGGGTCACTAGTTACTACTAGTAGTGCCGTGTATCTCACATCCACCACACGAAAGCTTCAAGTGCCGTCGAACGGGTACTACATCTCGCATGGAACTTCTCCATAAGGTCATGCTGCTTCACCAAATACCCCATTGTCCACCAAGCTGGATCCTTGCAAATGGAAAGCTCGGGAGACATTAGGGACGTTAGAAGGACTCATTAATAGCTCGTAAAGCCACCCTCTGATTCCCCTCCATTCGTGACTGACTGAATGAATAAATTCACTTCCTCTGCAATGACTGCCGTCTTCCGAAATGGTCGCATTTGTGTACCTTTATCCCCCTCGGCCAGGGGTGCCAACGAGTTCGCCGAATGTATGATCATCCAGGATGATCGTATTGCATATGTTGGCTCCCTCGACAATGCACAAATCCCCGCCGATGCGAACGTCATTGATTTGGAGAATCACGTAGTAATCCCTGGCTTTATCGATGCGCATGTACACATTCTGGCCTATGGCCAGTCTCTACAAAAGATTGATCTGATTGAATGCACGTCTCTCGAGCAAATACGTGCAAAAATCAAAGATTACGCCGAAGCGAATCCATCGGTGCCGCACATATTTTGTCGAGGATGGATCCAGTCATCCACCCAAGGCGTTGCACTGGCGAGCATGCTCGACGATCTTGATCCACGACCGATTTTCATCGATTCCTTCGATCTGCACTCGATGTGGTGCAACTCGGCGGCCCTCGATGGAATGAAGGCCCATACGGCGCCAGACCTTCCTGGTGGCTGTATTCACCGTGATCAGAACGGGCAGGCTTCTGGTCTCTTGGATGAATCTGCCTTGTCGAACCTGGCATGGCCCTATGTGGAGAGCCTCTTATCCAAGAAAGATAAGCTTATTGCGTTGGACGCAGCTGTCCACGCTTACACCGTCGCTGGCTACACTGGCATGGTGGATATGGCTATGGAGGAAGGCACTTGGGAGCTTCTGAACGAGTACCGCCGTGAGAAGCCTATTCCATTCCATATTGCAGCCCACTGGCTCGTGCCTTATGTGGATGATCAAGAGGCCCATTTCCGTTGCGTTGATCGCGCAGTGACACTGCGCGAGCAGTTCAAGGAACCCGATTTCAGCATTGCTGGTATCAAACTCATTTGTGATGGCGTTGTCGATGGATGCACTGCTGCTCTACTCCAACCATACAATACAAAGTCCGATCGAGTGGAGCCAATTTGGCCTGAAGATCAGCTTCGCGAAGTTGTCCAGCGTGCTGATTCAGCCGGGCTCCAGTGCGCCATTCATGCTATTGGCGACCGCGCTATCCATCAAGCCATCGATGTTTTGTCACAAGTTGGAACGCCCGGCCGGAGACACCGAATTGAGCATCTCGAACTAGCCACGTCCGAGGATGCGAAGCGCTTGGGTCAACTGGGGATTACAGCCTCCATCCAACCGGTTCATTCTGATCCCGCCTTGTTCAAAGCATGGCCTAACCTGATCGGACCAGATCGATGCAAGCGCGCATTTGCCTACAAAGAGTTCCTAGATGGGGGTGCACCTCTGGCGGTTGGAACGGATGCCCCGACTGCGCGCCATTTGCCCTTCCCTAACCTGTATAACGCGACAACCAGGCGATCGGCACTCGAGCCCAAGACCACCGACACCGTCAACCCGCATTTCGGCATCAGTTTGGCTGACGCGGCGAGTGCTGCGACGGCAGGGGCAGCATATGCACGCTTTGCAGAGTCATGGACCGGAAGTTTGCAACCGGGACTCAAGGCTGATTTTCTAGTCGTCAGTATGCATTGGGCACCAGAGACGCTTCTTGAAGCCAAGGTATGCCAGACTTGGTATCGGGGGAAGAAAGTATTCGACGCCAGTCAGGCCGCAGAAGCCTAGCTATACAAGAGCCTCTACTCTTCCAGCCAAAGGCGAAATTAGCATTCAGGTGTTTCAAGGAGCCACGTCGGATCAAATTGGGAGCTGTGGCGATCTCGCATGATACTCGTCCGCCTGTCTTGTACATACTACCTTACCTTCTCGCCCATTATTTATGTAGAAGGCTGTGCATATCTTGTAAAGAGCTAACCCTGGTTCCACCAATAATAAGCTAACAGGGTGCGCCAAGTAGGAATGATCAAAGAATCCATATGACTGTTCATCGTGTCGAAGAAAACGGAGACAATTAGTCAATCGATATAATAAGAGGAGATCCAGACAAGCCAGATCTTTTCTTTTAATAAGAAATAAAGCATAATAGCTTTAGCAGTAGTTAGCATGAGCTAAGTAATTATAAATCACTTTAAAATTACTTTTAGATGGCTCCGGCTCTGATCTAGCCCTATGCTGGAAAGAGAAAGTCGCATCCATTAAACTTAGAAAGGTTCGACACAACAACCGTAGTGAAGGATCTTTTCTGCAGGAATATGCCCGGGTTCTATGTAGTATATGCCATATAAACACTGGTGATAAATGCTATCCACCAATGTTGTACCTATAGATATTGTATATCGACATAGCAATAACAAGAGAAAAGACACCTCAGAGACCAGATAGATAGACTTCTTACTTGCAATAAACCTGGATTATATTTCTATACTTCGTTGACAGGACGAACGTATATCCAAAAGTAATGGTGGACTTAACAAAAACATATCTTGTCTCGCGAGTGGCAGCAGATCCCGTTTATGAAATTAGACATCCTGAAATCTTCTCCGACTGGATAATCTCCCTAAAGTGTAAATGTTCTGGATGCAACCAGTGGGGATGTGAGTTACATGAGCAGATGTTGTCTCGACGACAAATCACGATGCAGCCAATGTCCCTCAAAGGAGGAGAACGGCACAGGAATATCCTGGCTCACCGGTCTCTTTCAGCATGCCCAGTGTTCTAGTAGAAATTATGCAGGAAGCTTGTACTCGTGATACAAGGACGGAGTTCCATGGGGCACAACGGATTGGAGACGAGCAACAAGGCAACGTATACCATATGTGGTACCCTGGCTTTGTGTAGGGGCTCGCAAGGTTCAATTAGTATTGCCTAATGTCGATAGGGAGATCTCGAAATTGGATGGGACTCTAATTGGAGGGTCTCACACACCAAGCAGAATTTGTTAATTATTTGCATGGTGTGACAGTCACAAGCACTCAAGGATGGGACATATTGTTCGGCGATCAGCGAGGAGCAACTAGGCCAGTGCAAAGATCACTATGCGACCGGCTAAATCCTTAGCTATACACTATCATCCTCAGCCGTTGCATTGAAAGCGAATTTTAATTGGTGCAGCAATATCGAAAAGCTCCAGGCTAGAAACGTAGATTGTCTCCGGTCCCTGAATACGAAGCTATACGACATTGCAGATCCCTCAAAAATGGGCCGCACCTCTTGTACAGAGCCTGGCATAACCGACTTTTCAAGCTAAGGGTGATATTTCGGCCCTGATGCATGAACTAAATTGAGCTCGTGACTGGATCTGGCACATAGTGTCTGTCTCACAGCCGAGGCACCGGAGCTTTTGTAGTAGTCTATCGCTTCTCGAATGTGGTAGGGGTTGGATAGACGCTCATGTACATGGCGTGCATATGATGCATAGTGACAGATGGGTTAATATGTGATCCACGTTCGAAATTGCGCCGTTAATTGCGGGGAAAGAAGTAGAGCTAAGTTTCTATCCTGGGTCGGCACTTCAGATGATCGGCAGGAGAGGTCCGTTCCATGTTTACCGAGTAGTAGCCTCTGTAGAATCCACATGCAGCAATTACTCCGGACTCAAACGCGCCGCAAAGTTGATCTACCGTCATCTGAATCGTTTGGGATAATGACCCGTCTTCACAGAAAGATGGTCGAGAGCCAAAGCGCTAAATCCCATGTGAATCTGTTTACGAGGCAGGGGGAGGGGGATTAAATACTTCGCCGTTTCCTGCGGGCTGGTTGACATTCATCTCGATTCTAAACCGAAAAAGTGCGAAGATGGTACTCAGATATGTACTCGTTGCTTTAGCGGTCCTCCCCGGAGGACTCGGCGATACTCAGCAACTCAATTCCCGCGAGGATGATGCTGCATCGATTGCCTGCAGCAGGCTAAAGGACAAATACCCTGATATCACGTACTCTAAGCTCCACCCGAGGTATATCAATGCCAATACAGGTGAGGGAGAGTGTTTGCGACTTTCTAGCAAAAACACTCAACTTACCCTTTCCCAGAATACTACACATCCAGTGCATGGCTGGGGCCAGCCTGTGTCTTTGAGCCCTTGAATAGCACCCAGATGGGCGATGCGGTACAGATACTCAAGGAAGTTAAATCCCCCTTCGCAATCAGGGGTGGTGGCCATATGCCAATTGCCAATGCAGCGAATATCAATTCGTCCGGCGTTTTGCTCTCCAGCTTCGGTCTTACCCAGCTCAGTCTGTCTGATGACCAGTCGACGGTCAATGTCGGCCCAGGAAATCGATGGTCCAATATCTATGACTATCTTGAGCCGAACGGGCTGACGGTCGTTGGTGGCCGACTCGGTCACGTCGGCGTCCCTGGGTACATCCTCGGTGGCGGTGTCTCCTATTTCAGCAATGAGTATGGTTGGGCCTCCGCGAATGTTGCTAGTATTACGGTGCGTTGTACAGCATAGTACCTCCCTCGTCGTTCACCTGCAGTCTCGCTGATCCATACAAATTAGGTTGTCCTAGCAGATGGAACAGTAGTCCAAGTGACCCCAGAGAATGAGTACTCGGATCTATTCTGGGCATTAAGGGGCGGTTCCAGCTCATTCGCCCTTGTCACAAATTTCGAACTGAAAACAATCAAAGCCCCCAAGGTAATGGTTGGTATGGCATCGTATGGATCCGACGTCGCCGAGAAGTTTATCGATGCCGTGCATGCCTTTACTGTGGATGGTTCGAAAGACCCTAAGGCGGCTACAATCCCCATGGCAGAGTATATCCCGGCCTTAGGAGCGGTTAGCTATAGCGCCATTCTCTTCTATAATGGCGAGAATGAGAACCCTGCTGCTTTGGGGAACTTCCTAGGTTCCGATTTGAACGCCACCAGCAGTACCTTTTCCAGCCGATCCATGAGTGACTGGTCTAAGGAGCTTGATCCAGCCTTATCGCTTCTCAAGGGGAGTAAGCAGCGCTTCTACGTGTTGAATATCCACGCCTCCAACAAGCAGGCAATCTCTATTGTTCATGACACTTTCATGGAAGTGGCACGAGAGGACTTGCCTCTTGGGGTATTGGTTGCAGCTTTAGCATTCCCAGCCGTTACCGAGAAATTTATCACTGCATCTACTGTCAACGGCGGAGACCCACAGAGCTTGGATGTCAATGGTGCGCCATACATCTGGGTGGAAGAGAGCATCACTTCTGCAGCGATTGTCAGCGATGAGGATGTCGACGCGTTCTATGAAAAGGCTAATGGTCAAATCGTCAAGAACCTCCAGGCCGCGGGGATCGAAATGGCCAAATTTATCTATCTGAACGATGCGCATCCCTCCCAGGATGTTTTTAGCACATTCCCCCCAGAGAACCTTGAGCGACTCAAGAGCATCCGGTCTAAATATGACCCGGACAGAATCTTTACCGATCTGATGCCGGGAGGATTCAAGGTCGCGTGACACCGACGTTGCGTCGGTAAAAATAGGTTCTGAGGGAGCTGTGTAAATGGTGGGATTGGGTTAACTGGACAAGACTGGAAGGTCCCCTGGAATTATCATTGGAGTGAAATGACATTTTCCCACATGTGTGATGTTAGCATGGAGCATGTACGCCGTAGAAAAACTCCCAGCAAGAAGAGAGAAGCAAAAAAAAAAATTGAATGAATGAATGCAGAAGATCCCAGGGGGTCTCATGATCGATGCAGCTATGCCTCATCTGGACTGCAGTGTGACCATCCCATTGTGGGCCACACACACCAAACATGTGCCCGCGACATGCAGGAATTTAAATGAAACAAAACCACCGTCCATAAATACTTCTTCCCCCCTCCCTTCAGTGGACATCCAACACATTGACTATTCAACGGGTAAAAGAGATATATTAAACCACTGCAACAAAAAAGAATCAAGTCTCTTGACCCACGCGTTCGAGACATGGCACATGCATACACGGACTCGACCATGTGCATCAACGTGTGCGAGAGACGCCAAAAATGCATAAGAACGTCAGCTATACCAAAAGAAGGCCCGTCTCCAATCAACGCACGATTGATACAGCGCTGAAAGATGAAGAAGGGAAGACAAATCGCATAAACCAAATTTCCCAGACATGCCCGCCTTGGAATAACAATAGAAGAGAAATTAAATCCATAACCCCATTCCGTACCCAAACGTGTCCATTGCAGCCGACTCTGGCCAGTGGTATCAAGTCATGAATTGCGTGTCTGGCTACGCTGCCGCTGCTCATCCCCGCTGGAATAGTGGCCTGCCGTGTCCGTTGGAGATGTTGCCGATGACGCGGATTCTATAGGTATCAAGAAGCTTTAGCGACAATTTTTCCGCCAGATACACCGGCACACAAGATAACGCCTTACCTGTCGATTGGTATCCGCCGTCGCTCTGTGCTACATTGCTCCTGGGGCCACTTCCATCGAAGATCACAGACTTTCGTGCTTTCAAACGTTCTTCGGTCGCGCGAATTTTCGCCTGAAGCTCTTCCAGTTCTCGGTTTTGAATTATCATTTGAAATTTCCTAGCGATGAATGTCTGCGGTCAGCCTTCCAGGTTGTTTCGATCTCGGCGCAAGTTTGGGGGTAAAGAGGTGGGGTTCGCAACGGCTACACGACATACCTCTCATCCACAGTCTGTTCAAGGTGGTGGACATCCGAGTCCAGTGCGAAGAGACTATCCAGTGTGCTTGAGAAGGCTTGCGCCATGGTCCTGTCATGTATCGGTCAATGTCAACGTTCAGGTATTGCACGGAGCGCAAATGGTGGATACGAACGACTGAGGACGACCGTTTGGTTTCCAGCCCTGATCTGCGTCCGACATTTTTATATTTTTAGTCGAGTGTGTGTGTGGAGGTGAAGAGATACGAGGTGGTAAGGCAACAGGTCCAAGTTGAAGAAAGGCAAGGAGTTGCTCGTTCGTGGTGTTGAGGGGAAGAAAAAGGAGCGTTCCCAAGCGCGCGCGTGCGTCAGTGAACAGGGTGGGTATAAGGCAAGGTTGATGTGGAACTTGAGGTACAGTTCCAGAAGAATCAGAAGAGTGTCAAATTGCGGATGATTAAGATATTAGGGCTAAAGGTATATATGATGGTGAGAAGATCAGAACCAGCTGAGAGCAATCTATGGGAAAATGTAGGGGGGTTTGATCGATCTCAGGACTGAGGAGGCCGGAGATCGAAACTTGTCGCACTAATGAATGGGTAAGGGCCAAGGAGGGACCACTTTTAGTGGGTAGTTATCAAAGCCCGGACGGGGGTGATAGGGGCAATGCACGCTCGGGGGGAGGGAAGATCAGCCGGTCTCAAGAGAGGTAGAAGTAGTTCTTCGTGAGAGGGGTTGGGATCAAAGAGTATATCCACGGGCACCACGATGACGAGTCAGACGTCTATACGAACTCCCCCGTTGTTTTTTTTTTTGTCACCGTACCTAAAGGAAGTGATCTCCGAGAACAGAAGAGAGGCAAAACACGAAGAGAAAAAGGGTTGTAGAGTGATACTAGCGACTCAACTAATAAAATGAGGTAGTTTAGGTAAGGCCAGTTAGTCGGGTCAATAGTCACAGGCCTCTCCACCAGACTCCATCGTAATTGAAAATTCATGAAAATCTAAATCAAATCCAGTAATAATACCAGGATGTAAGATCCAATCAATCTTGCCCTCCATCACAATCAAAGGGTTGCCCGACCACCGGAACGTTTTGCAATTAAAGTCTTACACCGAGCAAGGAGCCAAAGGTACTAAAAAGTCAATGATGCGGACAGACTCGACCGCATCATTCAAATGCCAAGGCACGTTGTAGTGCTCATGACAATATGTACTAGTAGTAGCGTTGTGGTTGTGCAGATAAGTCCTGTATGAATGTACTACTAGTACGAGTATGTAAGAATGTCAAGACTCCCAATGGATGCTGATGCTGCTGAATTGGGGGGGGGGAAGACCTCCTGAATCCATGGAGGCTGAAGAATCATGTGTGTCCGTCCACCAGTAAGAAAGAACCAGAAAGGGGTTAATGTTGATTTTTCTTTCTTTCCTTTTCTTTTTTCTTTTTTCTTATATTTGACCTTGCCCCTGACAGCGTGGGGTTCGTGCCAGTGGTTGGTAGTAGTCCTGTATTGTATTGATGTACTGTTTTGTAAGTATATTCTCTTTATACTCATAGTACAGAGTAGTAGACAAAGTGCCAGGAGTAGGTCATAGTGAGTGCCTACAGGTCGTTATCTTTTATACCTTAGCAGTTAACGGTCCCTAAGCAATTTCCGATGTTAATTCTGAGTCTAGAATTCTCCGCGAGGGATTTAATTTGGGGAGTCATATTTTACCTCTCATATTGACTTTGGAATGTCCAGGGCCGACTGTTGGAGTAAGCTTTCACTCCATGAGTATCGTTACGATGTAATACCACCGTCGTCATGGCCCCCCAGCAACCGGAAAATGGCTGTCGTCATTATGCATGACTAGCAGATAAATACTAGTACGGATCCATACCACTGGGCACTGAGGCCCCATACAGTACCATAACATCACCTTGGCGGGCGATCGCCTTCCCTCACGTGATCCCTGGGGAGGCCGGGAAAAGTTGGTCGCTGGGATTCTCTTTCCGTCGGGGCAGGCGGACGACCACCAAAAGTTGAACGATTGCGCTCATCCAGACAAACACTCACTAGTGAGCCCTTCCCATCTTCAGTCCCCCCTTCCTATCGTCTACTTGTCCTCTTCCCTCCCCCATCCGGATCGTCATCCTTTTCATCCCACCCGCGCCCTTAATTTTATTGTCTCAAATTTCTACGATTTTTCCGAGAATTTTTTGAAGCTCTCGAAACCCCGTGGACGTGACACGGTCGCGTCTTGCTCCTGGATTTAATTTTTCTGTTCCCTGTTCCCGTTTTCGGCCGTTGTCCATTTTTCTGCGCAGATGGTCTGACTGGTTCCACGTAATCCTCCGATCACCTGCTTCCTGCCCGTTCCTCAGGCCTGGACCTGGACTTGGACCTGGACCCGGACCACTTGCTGTGCTGTTCTTGATCCATTGGTTGTCCCAATTGCAACTCTCTGACGGGCCAACCATCGCGCAACCTTTATCACCGTGGCCCCCATCCCCAGACCCTCTCCCCCCAGTGGCCGATCAAACGGGCAATGGGGGATGCCTCCTCTGTCGGCCTACACTCCGTTTGAGTCGCTCCTCTTCTTTCAATCCCTCGCCGCCCTAGATAGCCGCCCCACCAGTTTCGTTTCCATCTCCGATGTACTGCGCAACAACCCGTTTATCCGTCAGAATGGTGCTTTCGATGCGGGGCGGCTTGCCCCGGAGGCTCTCGAGGAATTGTATACAACCCTGATGCGGGATGGTGGGAACTCCGCCGACATCATCCCCTCCCTCGAACCCAACGGCCATCATGTGGAAAGCAACGGTGCTAACCCCAAGAAACGGAAGATTACGAGCCCGCGGCCAGATGGATTATCTGATAAGGCAATGAACCATGCTGCGATCATACCGGATCTGGTGTCGCATCTGTATGCCCGATACAAAGAGCTTGTTACCCGGGAAATTAGAAATGAGGAGGTGAGGTATAAGGAGATCAAGGATGAGATAGAGCGACTACAGAAGGAAGAGCGCGAAACACCCAAGGGGCCTGTGCCAACGCCAGCTATCCAGAAACCGACGCCGCAAGCACCCGAACCGAAACTCGAGCCCGAACCAGAGCCGATGGATGTGGACACCAAGGAGGAGATGTCCGCTCAAATACAGCCCAAGGTTGCGAACAAGCCTTCTGTTGAACTAGCGCCTGGGGTCGATACCAAGCAACCCCAGGTAGAGCCGCAAGGCAAAGAGGTGGATATCCCGAAACAGCCCCCGGTGTCAACGTCGCATCCAACACCAGTGGAGGCGCAACGCGTTCCTACACAACCGGTTGAGCAGCCGCAGAAAAGACCGGTGTCCACAGAAGTCCAGTCACAATTACCTCCGCCGCCGCGACCACCGCAGCAACAGCCCTCTGGCCCTCAGCCCATTCCACAAACAACTCCCAAACCACCTCAACCACAGGCCCTCAGCGGAAAGCCACCTGCAACACCCAAACAACCTCCCCTAGCGCCCCGAGATACTTCTGTCAGTCAAACTCCAACGAATGTTCCTACAGTACAGAAACCTATACCTCCGTCCGCTACCCCAGTACCGGGCATTGGTACTCTACCTGCTCCTCCAGCAACTCCCTCGCAAGTCCCGCTAAATGCAAATGCCCCGGCCATTTCTCCCGCCCCTCAGAAGCCAATCTCCACCGGCAGACCAGCTGGCAAAGAAGGCCCACCAAAGACTCCAGCTGCTACGGCTCCTCGCCCTCCACCTCAATCGAGTTTCCAGCAGTGGTCGTTGAACCCACCTCCTCAAACACCACGACCCGCTTCTTCGCACCCGACCCCAGAGCCCTCTGGTCAGACCACTACTGAAAGACCTTTCCCATCGCATCCACCTCAACCATTACCGAAGCCAGAGACAAAAGCGGCCTTCCAGACACCTCAACCAACAACCATCCCATCAACTCCGCAGCCCCTCTCTACCGTTGAGCAGTCGCCAGCACCTAGCAGCATTGGTACTGGCTATGAGACGCCAGCTAGAGCTGCACAAGCTCTGTTGTACTCGGAGTCCAGAAATGCGCGTCTCCGTCTAACCATCGCCACTCCTGGCTCTCTTACGCCTTGGAAAAAGACTCCTCGACTGAGCATACCACAATCTCCTCGTTCGCCAGAACGGCCGCGACGGGAGGATGTAAGTCCCATTAGCGAGAAGGCGCCTTCGTTGATGGGGTCTCGCGAAGCGACGCCGGAGGAACCTGTGCCTCCACCTCGGAGGCGTGGGCGGAATGAAGGGAAGGGCTCTGGACGAGGCAGAGATTCAGAAGTGGCAGGGGCTGATGTAGACGGCAAGGGAGGGCTGAAGCCGAAGCCAGAGAAGCACCTCGGCAAGGGCCGCGATAGGAGCGCAGCTTCGTCTAGAAGTCGGGGGCGCTCTGTATTGTCCCGCGACGAGGAGTCTGAATCTGTATACCCGGGAAAGATCAAACATGAGATGCCTAGCACGCCAGCTGGTATCTCGGAGGCCGCCGAACCCGAACCTCGTCCTTCTAGTGGCCGCAAAGGTACTGCTGCTTCAGAGGACCGCCCGGGTAGAGGCAGACCGAAACGTAAGCGCGGTGCCAGTGAAGCGTTGGAAGCAGAAACCCTACCCCCCGAGATTAACCACATCAGCCGTATTGACCCGAATCAAACGACATCTTATGTTCTCTGTGCTCGTAACTTCCCTAGGACGGGTGCTCCGATCATGAATGATGTGACTACTCATAAACACGCGTCCATCTTTACCAAGCCATTGACCGAACGCGATGCCCCGGGGTATCGAGATCTCATCTACCGGCCACAGGATCTGAAATCCATCAAATCATCCATTCATCAAGGCAGCAAAGCTGTGGCTGCTGCTACGGAAGCCGCAAACACACCCGTCGCGGACGGTGAATCTCCGGCCCCGAATGCCGGAACACCATCGAAGAATGCGGTTCTCATGCTGCAGAAGACCGAGGACGTTATTCCTCCCAAAGGAATAGTCAACTCGGCGCAGCTGGAGAAGGAATTAATCCGGATGTTCACCAATGCCGTCATGTTCAATCCTCTCCCTCAACGCGGATTCGGACCCGCCTTTCCGATGACTAGCGACAGCGGGTCGAGAGAGAGCACCCAGGTTCCGGAGTTGGACGAAGGAGGTATCATCAACGACACGGTAGAAATGTTCGAAGATGTTGAGCAGGCGGTCACGCGATGGCGCGCGGCCGAACGAACTGCCGATGAACTGGCGAGCAAGAGCATTCTGTCGCTTCGCAGGGGAAGCGCAAGTGACCTTAACACGGATAGCGCCGACGAAGTTAAGGGATGATGAAACGGTCGATGTAACGATTCAGGATATTGTATGTAATACTAGTAACCATTAGGAAGAAACCTACTTTCTGCCTGATCTATCTGGGGACGTCATGCGGTGATGTAAGATATTCTAACCGATTGAACAAGCTTCTATATATGACGACTTTTCTGCGTTATTCATATGGACATGTCATGCAAAATCATAATGCCGAGAGTGGTATCTTATATCGTGATGACCACAACTTATTTCAACTTATTTTCTTTTCTTTCTTGCCTTTAGGCAGCGCCGGGTATCGCCTGGCCAGGCTTCGTCCTTCCAAGGCCTTCCTTCGCATAGAAGTCCATCGGATAAACGCCCTTATTGGCAGTGTCCCAGCTCTCCCTCACGCCCAAAGCAATCAGCGCCTCATACGGCGTCAACAGTGGCCGCGGGAATGCATAACCCCAGTCAATACTCAATCTCGGACAAGCAATCTGCACCCAGCATTCAACATCTGACATGGACGCCAACTTTCCCGGGAAGATCTCGCTGAGAAGCAAATTGACGAACGGGATTCCGCGCTCGTTGAGGTGGTTCTCGATCATAGCCATGGTATTGGGGTTACCCTGTCGACCGAGGGATCCGAGAATGAGACCCCATTTTTTGGCAGACTTGGCGGTGTTGATTGCGTCGCGGCGGAGAGTGTGCATTTCATCGTGCACGTACGTTTCACGGGAGAGGATGCGCGAGTAAGGGTCGTAGCGGTAGGCGGGGATGGAGGGGTTGTGGATCATGGCGGATTCAAGGTGGAAGCGGCCGTCGCCGAGGTAGAGGAGGAGGTCGATCTCGTCGGAGGACAGCTGCGGGGATGTACAGCCTAGGATTTCACCTTTAGATAAGGGCGTGATTTGTGGGATGACGACTTTGTAGCCTGCGCGCTCGAGAACGGGTTTCAGACCATGGAGGGTGGCGTTGAACTGAATGGTTCCGACGGTTGCGATGGTCTTGCCTGGTTGGAAGTTGCGCTCTAGGGTTGCAATCAGGTGTGAGGTGTCGATGCTGATGTCGACGAAGATGTAGAGGGTTTTGATCTGCGTGACGTCTACGGGGATGAGACAGCTGTGGGCGTAGTGGACGAGGAGGTCACAGCCCAGGGCGCGCGCGGTATAGTCGTCGATGCAGCAGGCGCCGTATGTGACGTCTCCCATGATGAGGGTCTCTGTGCCTGGGCAGAACTGGGTGATGATGTCGGATATGGTGGTGGCGAAGATTAGTAGACCTTCGGGAAACTGTAGAGCTATTCTCTTTGCGCCGGATGAGCGTATCCGGTGGATTGTCTTGGGGATTTCAAATGAGTAGTTCTTGGGCAGAAGCTCGATCGCGGCTTGGATTTCGGGGTCTTCGAGGATTTCGGGAGGGACTTGATTCAGGGTTCGAGGTGTTCTTCTGGGAGCAGCTTGGGTGCATTGTCAGCTAATGTTTTGGAGGAATTAGGACCCTGGAGGTCATGTCACCAACCTGTCTGGATGCTTGTTGACTCGACATCATTTTGACTGGACGATTGTTCCTTCTGCGCCTGGGCGTCCGCTGTGCGTCGTCCGACGAATCTTTTCTTGGGTTGTCGCAAGTTGCCGTTAGCAGGCGATCCATTTGCGCTTGTTTCCGCCATTTTGTCCTTGCCCAATTGTGAATGTCCCGCACTCCGTGTGTACGTGCGTGGGACAATCTGGAAGTGGGATGAAATTCAACGCAAATTAATTACCTTGCAGAATTTAGTCTAGTCGGCCTGACTAAGGAAAAGTGGCGTGGATCGGGTTTAGTGAGGTCAGGTGGGGGTTCCGCCGACTCTAACCCGTGGTCGCTTCTCCGCATTTCGTCGGTTGATCTCCAAAAGCTCTCTGATCGGATGGTTTTCTCTAACCTTCCAGTTTCTCCTCCTTTTCCTGTTTGTCATTGTCTTCTCGACAATCACCTTCCTCCCTCTTAGCCTAGCAACCTGCCACCTCCACCATGATGAAGTTCCGACCCAGACTGAGCCTATTCACTGCCCTTCGAGCTGCTCCACCCACTCGACGCTTTGCGACAGAGGCGCGGTTAACTTCGGACCATGTTCGCATTGTCGAAGTAGGGGCACGAGATGGATTGCAGAATGAGAAAAAGTCCATACCGCTCGAAACCAAACTTCAGCTAATTGAGAAGCTGTCAAAAACCGGTGTGACAACAATTGAAGCTGGATCGTTTGTCCCTGCGAAATGGGTGCCTCAGGTATACACCCCCCGGCTTTACGGATGCGAAACGGCTGCCATCCGTCTTTGAACGATAGCGAACTAACGTCATTTCTCCTCAAATAGATGGCAAGCACGGCGGAAATATGTGAAAAGCTTCTCATATCCCCGCCGCAGTCGCAGAATGCCATTGCATATAACTATTTGGTTCCTAATATCAAGGGGCTTGAGAATCTTGTCAAGATCATGGACACTGCCGGTGTCCCTGCAGAGAATACTAAGACATCAACGTCAACCGAAATTTCACTCTTTGCTGCGGCGACGGAGGCGTTTTCCAAAGCAAATACCAATTGTACCATTGCGGAGTCATTGGAACGCATTCGGCCCATTGTTGAGTTGGCCAAAACCAAAAGCATTCGGGTCCGAGGATATGTCTCCGTCGCTCTGGGATGTCCGTACGAAGGACCGGATGTCCCCCCATCAAAGGTGGCCGAGATTACGGCCACCCTACTCGAGATGGGTGCCGATGAGGTGTCGGTAGCTGACACTACGGGTATGGGAACAGCCCCACGTACGATGGAGCTCCTACAAGCGCTCAAAGCGGCGGGAATCGCGAACAATGATCTTGCACTTCATTTCCATGATACATATGGACAAGCCCTGGTTAACACCGTCGTGGGATTGGAGCATGGCATTCGGATTTTCGACAGTAGTGTGGGCGGACTCGGTGGCTGTCCCTACTCCAAGGGCGCCACTGGCAATATCTCGACAGAAGACCTGGTTCATACGCTTCATAGTCTTGGAATGCACACTGGGATCAACCTGGAGGAGATGGCTAAGATCGGCGGTTGGATCAGCGGCGAGCTGGATCGGTTTAACGAAAGTAGAGCCGGGAAGGCAACCCTTGCAAGGGTTCAAGAGTGAGGGCCAGTCGTTCGCATGAAGAACCCTAGTATCTTCGTCGATTAAACATGTGTTCGGGGAACTGTCATTTTTTGTCATCATGTAAAACACATGCTGTGGATTGTGGGGTTTCCAAGCTCCGCTGCTCATGCAAATACCGTGTCTCCGCCATGACATACAAGGCTACTATAGCCCCCAAGTCTGAGCATCTACTATAGTATGAATCTCCTGATTCGGATATCTTGAATATAAATCGGGTTGTACCATGTAAAATGTCTCGGCACTATTAGGTTGTAGTCGTAAGCTTTTGTCCAGCACATAGGTGATCTATCTTGACACACGACCAAAAGGTCCCCCTGAAATTTGAGCTCGTATTGGATCGAATAGTTACGTACTACAGACGAAGACATCTAACTCTTCACTTTGTCGACGATATTGTACATTTGCTCGAGAGATATCACAAAGAAACAGGGAAATATGAGAGGAGAGGCTGCCATAGCCTAAATGATATATACATCTGATATCGTAGTACCCAACGCCGACTGATGCAATGACCGAAATTCACAGCTTCTGCATATTCAGCTAATTGTTCACCGACAACTAGTTGATAAGATGCATTGCCCCCGTCACTTAGAAATCGGTGACGCGACCTCCATAGCTCCAATCACCCTCAGCACCCCAACGCAATGGCTCGTTCTTCGGTCCACCGACCTCGCCTGTCTTAGGGTTCTGCTCCCCCTCAAATTCAGGCTGAAGACCGCCTCGCAGATCTGGGTGAAGTTCCTCCCCGTTTCCTGACGCCTTAAACTCGGGATTTTCGTTGGCCGGTTCGGAGTGGGGTGACTGGTTAATTTGAGGGGTCGTCCGTGGGGTACTGAAGGCGCCGGTAGATTTCTTTTGGAGGTCTTCGAAGATCTCTTGTTCTTCCTTGGGTAGACGAGGAGGAGCTGGGCCGCGTCCAAATGCGAAGGCGGGATTGTCGTCGGAGCTGCGGCGAACCGGATGGCTCGAGAAGGCCCGGGTGGAGATGCGCATGGTCCTGACGGGACTGAATACCCGGCGAGAAGCAAGTGAGAAAGCCATGCTTGGTGTGGGAGTGTTTTTCTTTTTTTCAAAGTGCTGCGACGGCCACGAGAGGGGTGGAAGAATTGTCGTCCAAGATGACTGCAGAGGAGCCAGAGAGAGAGAGAGGGAGAGAGAGTCAGTCACCTTTAGGTAAATGATTTTAATTGCGGAGTGGCGGAGAGCAAATCACAATACAGTTTGTGATCAGATAAGCCGCTTGGTCGTTTCTGGGTTTCCCGATATCGCGGGATTTGTTTGACCCGTACATTTCGTCCTTTCGTTTTTCTCTCCTTTCGGTGACTCACCGAAATTCCCTCTTTTCTTCTTAAATATCCCCCTCTTGACCTCAATTGCTTGCATCTATCTATATTTCATTCCATACACTACCATCCGAATGGCCTTCGTACGTGTGGCCTCGCGGCGACTGCCGCTCGCAAGGAAGCTGGTCCCTGCCATTGAGTCACCGCTTCAGCGACGATTCGCATCCGCCGCAACAGGTCCAAATGCGAAGTCTCAGACGAAGGTATGCTGAGACCTGGAGCTGCATATTTTACAAAACTCACACAGCTCGTGGCAGACATCGCTCCCCAATCCCGACCCGGTTGCCGATTCCGCAACAATGTCCTTCGTGGAAGAACGAGCGCCCTTTATGGTCCCCACCTACGTCCGCCCTGCTCCGATGATGGTAAAAGGTCAAGGATGCTACTTATGGGATATGGAGAACAGGCGGTACCTTGATCTCACAGCTGGTATTGCCGTGAACTCTCTTGGTCACTGTGACCCCGAGATCGCACAGATTATTGCTGAGCAGGTGTGTATAGGCTACGTCGCGATACAACCTAG